ACAATATACAAAAACATATAAAGTATATATATATATATATATATTTTTTTTTTTTTTTTTCAGGGAACTCTGAGCATTGGTCGTCTGTCCCTCGACTTCAACCTCATCACGCAACTCGAGCCCTTCGCCTTCCAGAACTTCCAAGACGTGAATGTGACGACATTAACAGGGAACCCCCTGATGGCCATTGGCCCCGAGGCCTTCAAAAACGCCCGCGTCAAGGAGATCGTCGTCAACTACACGAACCTCTGGTACCTGACCCAGGATTCCTTCGACGGCCTGCAGGCCGACCTGACCAGTCTCGACCTGAGCTTCAACAACTTGACTCAGCTGCCCCGGAAACTGTTGGAGAGGCACGAGAGACTGCATAGTTTGTCGCTGAGGGGCAATAGGTTGGACGAGATCCCGACCGCGGACCAGAACGGCGGGTTCCAGTACACCCTGAGGAGTCTGGATTTCGGGGGTGAGAGGATGCCGGGGATCAAGACCAAGGCGGACTTGAAGAAGATGCGGAATCTCCGTCGACTCGGGTTCAGTCTTGGCGGCAAACAGGTATGATGAGGAAAATGTTTCGAAGTCTTCCACTTGTTGTTGCTGTTCTTGAAAAGCTTTGATGAATTATCAACTCATTCCAAGGCAAAATACCATTATAGCGAATCATTTCATTTCAAATAAATGTCGCAGAGGTCGTCTTGGCAGAGCCGAAGTATTTAAAGCAGTGGACTCCCGTGATATATATATCCCAGAATATTTCTGAATATTGAATATTTACTCTGGTGCACTCTCTCTATATATAGGTACAACGAAATTCAAGGGACCAGGAAACAATTCGTTGTGCAGAGAAAATCGTTGTATAGAAGTGGACTCTCTCTCTCTCAACGACAATGTTGTCAACAACAAACGAATTAATTTTTGTCCATACGGTTCTCTCCCCATACTTTCGGCGCTATTCCCCACAACAAATGTTTTCTGGCCTCTTGAATTTCGTCGCTCGTCTCTTGAAAGATACTGTAGACTGTACCGTTAAAAAAAATTTTAACCGTACGCAGAAAGAATTTTGAAATTTTGCTAATTTTTGGGCTGTATGCTTTAGAAAAACCAGAAAAAAAATCGTTGTGGAGAGAAATGTGTCGTAGAGAAGCCCTGTATAACGTGGATAGATGACATGGCGTCTTTCATAGACCACAGGAAAATGCTTTACTTCAAAAAGAACATCAGGTGGAGACTATTTTTAAAGTAAAAATCTTTTTTGCTGTAATCTGCTCATAAATTCCGTCATTTTGCCCGAAAATAATGTTCTCGTATGGTCAGCAAACAGTTGGATTTAAAGACATTAATCGCTGATAGATACGATAAATTTTGAATTCGTTCCTTAACCTCATTAATGTGTGACACATTACCGAAAATGATTGACGTAGATCCGATTCAAGAAAATTGAAACCATTCGACCGAAGTAAAGCCTTCGTTTGTCCGCCTGAAATTCGTCGACAGGTGCTGACTCAAGATGCTCTCGTAGGAGTCAGCCCAGCAGTGCTGCACCTGGACCTGACCAAGAACCGACTGAAACGGATCGAACCCGAGGCCTTCAAACCAGTGCCAACCCTCAAAACACTGGATCTTTCCGACAACATGCTCGAGGATTTGCACGTGCTGACTTTTGCGGGGCTCAGTCAGAGTTTGGAAACGTTGCTCATGCGCAGATCATTGGCCAAACCCGCGAGTTGGCCGCGCAAATTTTTCGCAGGCTTCACTTCCTTGGTCACGTTGGACTTGAGGGCCAACGGAATCACGCACTTGGATGCCGAGGACTTTGCTGATATGGGGTCTCTCAAACAGGTTTGGCGACTCGTTTTTTCCGCGTCATATTTAATGCAGTTATCACTGGGGAAACAACTGTGTGACCCGGAAAATTTGCCAGTCCGCAAAACACTTTAAGGCAATCTGCTTGTGTGTGGGCTTGGAAAGGTAGGGGAACACTGGTCTAAATTGTGCCTTGGTATGTCATTGGATATTTTGTTATTTCCAAAAATCTGCTACAGACTGGCGAAGTTTGGTAACATTTTCGAAAAAAGCTTTATGGCACGCATTTAAAAAGTATCTGCTTTTTTTGCAAAAAAAAATAAGATTCAATGAAGCATGTGCATAGTGGACTGTTCAAAAAAGTTAGAAAGGTGGGCTTGAAGAAAGGTTTCCCAGACTGAAAAAATTGTAATCATTAATTTCAGCGTCTGAATATTTTTCTGAATTGCAAATACAAAAAAAGCCAACCTTATGTTTTCTTTGGATAATTTCAAATACTGTTTCATTTGTTTTTCCAATGTTTCAGATGAAGATGACAGACTTCATTGCTACTTTTCTCAATTTATTATGCTGCAGAAAATTTACCACAGGTTGGGGACCACTGATCTAGACAGTGACATCTATCCATACTTTACAGTCTTTAAGACAGAGCAGTGAAATTCATCGCGAACAACTGTAGTTTAGTTAGACAGACGAGGTATATTGCGTTTCTTTGGTAAAAAGTGAGGCATTTTTTAAAAAATTGAATCTTATCGTACAATTACTTTGCGTGACTTGAACAAGAGCAGTTCTGAATATCGAAAAAAAAAGTCAGACGGGTGTAGAAAAATTTGAAGAGCATCTTCGCAATCAATACATTCTTCAATTTAAAAAAAATTTAATGCATTGCGAAGAGCATTAGCGAAACAAGGTCTTGTACTTTTCTTTTGTAACCTTGATCAATTGTTGAAGCTCAAAATTTCACCGTATAATTATGTGACTAGGATAAGAGCAGTTTTGAGTAAGGAAAAGATGAGTTTGTATGTATGGTGTAGGAAATGTTGGACAGCTTTGCAATAGATGGTCAACCTTATTCGGTTGACAAACTTAGGCGGCACATTTTTGGAAGAAATTTCTCACATTCAAATTTTAAATCTGCAGAATAATTTGAAGGACGAACAAATTTAGATTTTTCTATAGTATAAAGGGGAACAGAGACTAAGTTATCATTCTTTCGTGAAAATGTGCGTGCATCAGCATCAAAATATTTTTTAAACACTTGAAATACTTGAGAAATATTTGATTCGATGTTCAACTTGACTGATGATTGCGGAACATTTGAATGTACAATACGGTCCAAAATTATCATGGTCCCAAACAGATCAACCTGGACCTCAACTTCATTTCGAGACTGCCTGCGGAGCTGTTTTCCCCAGCGCACACACCAGTCATCGAAGTCGTCAGCTTCAAATACAACTATCTTCAAGAAATCCCGTCCATGGCGTTTGCGAAGTTGGATCATTTGCGGGAAGTTCTGCTCTCCGAAAACAGGATAGACGTGATTGAAAAGAAGGCCTTCTCGGACCTGGATCGGATACAATACATCGACTTGAGCAACAACTTCAACGAACGGCTCGTGGATAACGTGTGGCAGAACTTGCCGCGATTGGAGCTACTGTCCTTGAAGAACAATGGAATGCGAGACTTGAATTTTGACGCCATGGAACAGGTAGGGTTTTCGAATTAGAGGTACATTATTGGAAACGGTAAAAAAATATTTTCCAAGAGAAAAAAGTACGCACCGTAGATGTCATCTTGCCTTTAGTTATAGGGTAGACACAAATCCGAATTGAAGTTCAATCCTGGCTGAAAGACTAAATGAGCATTGCAGGTTGGAAATTGAGAATAATTCAACACGTACTTGAATGCTAGAGGTACAAATGCGAAGGTTGTCCCAGTTCTGCGCGGTAATCAATATTTCTAACGTTAGTAAAAGTGTAAAATAAATTTTAAAATGTGATCAATAATTCCAGACGCTTTCAGTCAACTGAAAAATTACTTCGAAGCGTTGAAAGCAATTCACGTCAGATTTCGTTTAAAAATAGCGTAATTAGAACTCAATTGTAGAAATACTGAAATAATTCTCCGCAATATTTCAGAGAGCATTTAAGGAAACGTCAAGAAAATTTCCCGTATTCCTCGATATGACGGCGTGTCCGTACTTCCCAGTACTTTGAATTCTGATTGAAAACAAAAACTGACCTCTTTCTTCGTGTTCCACCACATCAGGTCGGCAATTTAGCAAACTTCCGTTTCGACGTATCAGAAAATCAGCTTCGCAATCTGACGATCCCTGGAGAAGCTCCGAGTTGGCGGAACCATTTCAACGTGAAATTCCTCAATGCGAGCAGAAATGAGATCGTCTACGTGAGCGACGAATTTTTCGATGGTGTCGGGAACAACCTCATCTCCTTGGATCTCAGCCACAACTCCCTGGCAGAACTCCGTCGCTCAGTTGCCGGGAAGAAGCCTTACTTGCAACTCCTGAATATCAACCACAATGCCATCAAAAAGGTCATTCTTACAACTTTTGATAAATTTAATAATTTTAAGAACAAGCGACCAGTTAAAAAGATGCATAATTTTAAACTCATGTGCAAGGTGAATTCAATTACTGTTGTCACACTAGGCTTCATGCAAACATTCGACGAAGTCTATTACTGTATAGTAGTCTTTCTGCTCCAGGTGAACTCTTTCCCTACATTCTGAAAAAATCGTGTCCACAACGATTTTCTCTGTTTGACGAATTATTTTGGTTGCATAGAGTCCTCTCCCCATGTTGAAGGGGTTCTCCACAATGGAATTTTCTTGGCCATCATTTCTTTCTGGTTCCTTGAATTTCATTGTAGAGAGAGAGTCCACCTGTATTCTATCCTGTGAAAAACTGGAACAACCCTTTTAAAGCTAATAGTGTAGCTCACCGTAACTTCACAAATCGACAGTGCTCCTTTTTTCATAGGAATCAATTCCCTTAAGCCCTGTCCAGGTGGATTTCAATCCAGTTCTAGGCAGGAGTCCACATTCAGCACTTCAAGAAAATTATGAACTTTTAAATGAACAATTCCACATACGGTACCTACGAACAATGGAAAAACTTTCTCCATAGCGAATTTTCAATCTGGGGATTTCCTACTTTTTCAGATACGTCGGGATGCCACAGAAGGTTCATGGAACCTTCTCGAAATACACGCCGCTAACAACATAATAGAAGACATCCCCGAAGACTTCTTCCGCAACAAAACCCGTCTCCGAGTAGTGAATTTATCGGGTAATAAACTAACAGCTGCTCCCCCCGGACTCTTAGACAACAACCGCCTAGAAGTTCTCCTGGCTGCCAACAATCTAGTGGATCGCTTTCCAGATTTCAGTCTCAAACCCATGCCGACTCTCCGCGTTTTGGACGTGTCTGGAAACAAAATCGAACATATTCGAGCTACGGACATCGTCTCACTACGAAATCTCATCTCTCTGGATGTCTCCGACAACCGACTGGAAGGCCTTGATGCTGGCGTTTTCGGTTCCTTCCACAGGATCCGCGTTTTGGACTTGTCAGGAAATCCGCTTCTCGGCGACGCGTTTTCTCCTGCAATGCTGGAGAACCTGGAAGAACTAGAGGAATTGTCCTTGGCAGACGCTGGACTAGAAAACATTACATTACCTACGTTGAATAATCTTCTCAGTCTCAACGCATCCGGGAACGAGTTGTTTGAACTGGAGTCGCAGACTCTGGGTCAGACGCCGAATCTCAAACAGTTGGACATTTCTAGAAACAACTTGACGAGTCTGGACTCGGGTGGATGGATGATGATTCCATTCTTGCGACAACTGCGGGCATCTGGCAACCCAGTGACTGTGCTGCAAAATAGTTCACTGGTGGGTCTGCAGAGACTGCAGTTGCTGGATTTGAGAGAGTTGCCCTTGGAGGACTTGGAGACTGGGGCATTGGCGATTTTGCCCGGACTGCAAGTGTTGTTGGTCAGTAATTATCCTGAAGCCGGGGAAGAGGCCCTCGGCAAAGCACTGGCTGGGGTCTCCGGGTTGGAGAAACTGGTCGTGGATATTATTCAAGATCCAAAGTTGGGCAACATGTTCCCAGCTGCTGCACCCTCAACACTGAGGGACCTGGAGATTTCAGGGAAAAGTTTAGTTTCCTTCAAGACCTCAGCATTCTCAGTGAGTCAAAAAACCTCATCCACTCGTTCATCATTTCCTGGACCCATTCAATTCACAATTATTCAAGGACTCAAATCCCGCAATAGCTAGAAGTACGAAGGCGATTTTAAATATCTGATTCAACGCCTAAAAGAGGAAATAATGGGAGACTAGTCTAAACTAAACTAAATAACTATTCACCTTAATGAAATATTGTAACTGATTTTTTGTGCATGGTTACTTCCTGCACCATGCAGTTGAGAAACAAAAACTTAATCGATTTTTGGGGGATCTTTTGATTAATGAGAGAAAGAACTAATTATACTATTGAAGTAAAATATATGGGAAAATATGATCAGGCATGCGGACGTTTTGACATAGTGACAAGGTCCAAACACCAAGTACAGTGAGACCCCGAGATGCAGACATAATTGGTGCATCAAGAGTGTCCCTAAGTTGAATTGTCCCCAAGTTGAGTCTTGTTTTCCCATAGACTTACATTATATAATTTTTAATTAGTGTTTTATGGGAGAAGAAAAAAAAATTTTGCCGCTTGAATTTGAATTAGTGAATACATTTTCAACTTAATAAGAAACTTTGGAGCATGGAATAGTTTATATCTGTACTGTATATTCAAATAATGGCATCTACAAAAATAACATTCAAGTGAAAAAAATTAGAAGTCCCTCTATGCTGAAGGTAATTTTTTAGAATTAGCTAAATGGATGGTAAATTGGTGAGAGAAATGCCCAAGATCTTTTCTTAATTCAATTTTAAGGTTGGAAATATCTGTTTCATGTAATTTGGCCTGAAATGTATTTGCAAGTTCATCACAAAATGTCCCTATGTTGAGTCAGTGTCCTCATGTTGGGCCTCTTTTATTAAATTTTTCTGGGAAAATAAATGTCCCTATGTCGAATTGCCCACAGGTAGAGGTGTCCGCATGTTGGGGTCTCACTGTACATCCGCATTTTTGAGCCCGACAGTATTAATACAATTAATATTCACCATGACTTCAGGACGTCGCATTATGAAAATGTCACCGCCTTTTCTCCACAGGGAATCACATCCCCCGCCCTCAAGATAACTGTGAAGGAGACGAACATAGAGATCCTTCCGGTGCAGTTGTTTGAGCACACGGGGCGAGTTTACTCATTGCAACTGGATTTGCGGGACACAAAGTTGTCGCACGTGGGCGATCCGCAAAGAAAGCCCGGCTCAGGAAGCTCATATCGGGTGCATCCAACGTGGCTGGACGACTTGCGGATCGGCGGCAGTAGTTGGCGCTGCGACTGCGGCATCGGGTAGGGCTACTCGCGTTCTCTTTCCAAGTTGAACAAAATAATTATGCCTTCTCATCTGCAAGAGAGCGAGAATATCCTGATCAAATTTCCATTCCTCCTGACTTTTCTATCATGACGATGAAGAATTATAAGACAAGAATTATTCTCACCTGTGAGACGCATTTCGATCTCCTTTCAAGAATTTTAATGCTCTCCCGACCCCGGAAATCACAAAATGAATCCAAGATCAATTGGATCAACTTCTTTCCAAGGTGGATGAACGATTCGCTGTCCCTTACATATTCTTCCTGACTCTGCACATACAAAAAATTAATTTGTCAACAATTCACATATTTTTTAATTTAACGAATGAAAAGAAAAGATTCCCGCCTCCGAAGCACATTCCAATCCCACGTCATTAAATTTTATCATTCCTTCTACCCTGCAAAAATAGTACAGTACAAAATTTACTGAACGTCGGGTGATGAATTTGTCAACTCATCGCCTGACTTTTCCTCAAGGTGAACGGACGATTGGTTGTCATTGGATCGTGGAATTCTTTACTTATTCTTCCTGATCCTGTCATTTAAAAATTTTTTTTCATTAATTTACCTTAGATACATTCTTCAAATGAAAATAAAAGATTCCCGTTTCCGAAGCACATTCCGATCTCGATCTCACCTCATGAAATCCTCTCGCTCTTTTCATCCTTCTGACAATACTGTATATACAGTACAACATTCATTGAACGTAGGGTTATGAAAATTTTCAATTCATTGATCGACTGCTCCCTGTAGTAATGGACGATTCGTCGTCATCGGAAATCCCGTACATATTTTAACTGGCCCTACAATAAAAAAACACAAATTGTATCAGTGATTTACCTTACAAAAATTTAAAAAATAAAGATAAGATTCCCACGCTCAAAACACCGTCCGATGTCGCCTCACGAAATTTCCAAGCTCTTTCAATCATGCTGCGAATAAAACTTCTTTTGAATGTCGGGTAAAAAAAATTCGTTGCTCCATCGATTGACGTCTTCCGGAGGTAAATTCACGATTGGTTGTCATCGGATCGGAAAATTTCCTACCGAGTTCTTCCTGACCCTATAATTAGGAAAATTATGTTGTCACTTAATCCATTGATGGACTTCTCCTTGTGGTAAATGGACGAGTGGTTGTCATCGGATCGGAAAATCCTGTACATATTCTTCCTGACCCTGCAATAAGGAAAAACTTCATCACTGATTCGCATTTTGAAAATTCTACAACTGAGAAAGAAAGAATCCTACGTTCAAAGCACAGTCACATTTCACGTCATGAAATCCCCCTTCCTCTTTTCCCACCTTTCAAGACTTCTGACGCAACATTCATTGAACGTCGGGTAATAAATTCGGTTTAATCAGTTGATCGACTTTTTCCCTCCCTCTAGGTGGATGGATGACTGGCTGTCGTCGGATCGGGAAGTGCCCTGCAAGATCGGAGTGGACTGGTACATGACGGCTCCGGCAGACTGTCCCAGCATCGTGGCCACGTTCCGGAGCGCCAAGTGCCGACGGGACGGAAAGTCCGTCCTCCGTTCCTTCCTCGACGATATGGACTGTTCAGAGGCGGCCACGTCCGGCGCCGCAGCTTCCGTGCTAGTCTTCGCTGCCGCCGCAGCTCACCTGCTCCTCATGGGGCTTCATAGAGCTTGATCAATGTTATCACTTCCGAAGGTTACGTGATATAAAAAAAAAGTCCATTGTTTTTGCTAAGTGACGTCAAGTTAACATTAAATTTGGAAAAAAGAACAATTCCCCTTGATCATATCAAATGTTCAATGGGTCATACCAAAATCCTTACCATAGATGAATATGTACAGAACTCGAAACTCTGACCTAAACTCGGTGTCACTGAAGAATACTGTACTGTGAAATTCTGAAATTCAGCAGAACTGGTCAAAAACTTTAAATTAGAATAATTCCTAGAAAGTAATCCTGAAAATGGGAAGCCACGCGGTTTGTTATCATAGAACTCTTAGACACAATTTCCTTACCTTTTTGGCAGAGTTTGAAAACTGTCAATACATTGCAAAAGAGAAGGAGTTTTGAATAAATGCTGCAAATTATAGAGCGAAGAGAATACTTTCGATTTTGGGGCGAAGACAATTTTTTTTCGGATTTTATTTTCGAATGGAACGCTGATATTTTGACGACTGGAATATGAGAGGAAAAGATTTTTTGTGGAGTTCAATCCCAGAAAATAACTTGTGTTCTTTCCTGAAGAGTGCATAGGAATCTCCGACCAACGAATAAATTCTTTAAATTCACATCCTGAATTTTGGTTACGTGTCTGGTAAAATATTCTGACTTTCCCTGCAAATTCTCACAGAAATCGAGAATATGTACCGTGTTTCCGCAACAGTTGGACCCAAAAAACCCAACTTTTCCCTTCTTCTGAGGCAATCATATTCTGCTTAATTAAAGTCCTATGCGCCGTAATCCTCAAATATACAGCACGTGAATTATTCTGACAGTGATTTGCATCCGAGATGCCAAACACACCAAAAAGATTCCCACTTTCTAACATCATTGCAATCAATCAATACATTCTATCAATTTTTTGTCATTTGAATGCGAGATCTACCCACACATCTTCGAGGGGAAACACATATACCGTAATACTGTACCAGTCTTGCGTTTGAGGAAACATGGTACTAATCTGGAGATACAGTAGATATGAAAGGGAAAAACTCAAAAGCCTATTTTGCAGAGAATTTTACGCAGGAATCGTTAAATCATGTTATTCATTCACGAAAGCTGTGATTCAACGCTAAACCAGCTCCTCTCAAACTTTTTTTTTAAACCTTCACTTCCGAAGATACTAAGACTTCACTCTCGACACAATCGCAACAACGACCACGCACTAACTTCCAAATGTTTTCTCCTTGATTTGTTCAGTCGAGAGTGGAATCCAGCGTAGCATAAGTTCTTTCTGTTTCGGGAGCTTAAAGCTGACCTCACTCAAGAGAACGGGAAAGTTATTGCGTCTTACTACGATACTTGATTTTTTGTTTAGAGTTTCTCAAGTTATTTCCAATACTTCTTAAATTATTGGACGACACGCAGACAGACGGAGAATTTAAAAAGAAATGGTGCCATGGTTCTCCAGAAAACATTTTCAAAAGTGTTACGAAAGACAAGAATATTTTCTATGACGCGTGTGGTGCGAACAAATGTCCCACTTTTTTTGTTCAATCGGAACCCAGGGCATGTTTCGAAAGTTCCTGTCAACAACAACAGAAATTCGTTTTCCCTCCTGGGAGATCAGATCTCATTTTGTTCAGCTCGAAACTGAATCCTCGACAACGTGAACGCAATTTTTTCGCTATACGCGTACACACCTCATGACTCCACCCGACTTAATTTGCATCCCCTCGCTTCCTACCGAGAAAAAGGATTTCCATGCGATCTTATGATTGCGTTGATAGTGTTACGGAATTATGTGCAACACGTATTTTCGAGAAAAAAAAAAAGAAAAGAAAGACGATCGAGAACTGAAACTTTCATAGTATTTGCTCTGCGTCGCGCGGGAGAAAGAGTCAATTTTATTCCGTCAATTATTCCGCTATTTTTTGAATTGCACCGACTTGCGGCATCTCTTGTGTCTCGCGGGGAAATGGAAGAACAAGAAGAAAAATCGTTGCTGTTGGTTTACCCGTGTTTCATTCATTTCCTTCACTTCATTCCTGCCAATTATTTATAAATAAATAAAGTTTCTTGATGCTATCCTCAGAGAACGTAGTTCGATTCATCCGAACTCGGAGAAAACACAGCGCTTCTCAAGGGAAATCAGAATAGATTTGATTGAATCGAATTCTTTATTTCATGCCGGGTTTTGAAAGTAAAATTCCTTTTACAATTTACACACACCGTGTAAAAAAAAACCTTCTTCTAATAAGCAACGAGAGAAACAGGTATTCACACAGGGTATCTAGTTGAAAAATCGACATTCTCTGTGATTATAGAAAGATGCATGAAACGCGCTGTTATGCATCAGAATGATCCGTAGGTACGTTTAGAATATAGAAAATAAATTTTAAATCAGTAAATATGCAAACGAACTTGTACCCATTATTTCATAATTTCACCAGAAATCCAAGCAAACATAGAAGAGTTAATGACTATTGTAACATGCGGAATTCGAGGAAAAATTGGAATGCAACCCATAACGTAACCACAATGAGAAAATTCGTCATAACAAAAAAGAAAGGAAAATTCACAACATGCAATATAATTTCTCATTACACAGCAAGTTTCTGAGCACATATCTGACCTTAATTTAAAACTCTTCCTGTACAGATTATTTCAAGCAGTACCGCAGACTTATAAATGATCCAAGTTTATGAGAAACTTATCGTCAAACAGATTACTGTATTTCCCTCTTTTATCCCGTCCTCATAGAAATGACGCAATCCGAGCCAACTGCGAGATAAGCAAACACCCGCCCATCGATAGAAGCACAGACAATAGCACAACATGATATCGCAATCTCCATCACAGACACCGTAACGGATAAAACTATTCTGTATCCTTTCTTTGGATCGACATTCATTCTAAACTTCCACAAACTGGAATTCTTGGATAAGTTTTCAATCCCCTTGATGCACAGCTAGCTTTTCGTTCCGTAACGGAAAGTGTATGGTAGATATGGGCTCACCAAAACACTGCTCCTCCTCCTGCGCCTCCGCCCCAGATGTTGTTGGACTTCCTGGTCGCAACTACCGCGTGACCGCCCATGGCGGCGAGTTGTGCGGCATTCGGCGGACAACCTGGTGGTGGCGGCGGAATCGACGGTGGATTCCTGGAGTCGAATCGAGCACCGGCATTGAACGCGTTCTGAAAAGTTGGATTGCGATAGTTAGTAAAAATTCGCTGTAGTACTTCGAATATGAATTTGGCAGCTCTCAATTTTTTAAAAGAGTTCAAGTGTCCTACGCTACTTCAAAGATCACCGAACAATGTTCCTTCGATGGTTTACGATTGACGCGGCGTCTTGTTACTCCCAACGTTTCTCCAAAGCAATTTTAACTCAAGATGCGAAGGGTTCATCGCTTCGTTTTCCATGAGTATGCATCACGAAAAGTCGAGTTTTCAATCAAATATGCGTAAGATGATCTTGACCAAACGGCAGGAATGGAAATTAAGGCCAAAAGCGAAATAACTTAAAAATGTGCACCGATCACAGCCATAAACTGTTCTAGCAGAGAGTAAATTTTCTCTAATAAAACTTGATTCTTTCACCCAGAACACGAGTTGCAGACGTGACATGAAGAATATTTCAGGCAAGAAGTAACGCCACAATCAAAAACAGATCACAAACATTTTTCAGGAGCCATCTACGAGCTACGACGCTTTTTTTTGGCAGAATCGAATTTTCCCGCTTTTGAGATTTTTCCACATACTGTACAGTACATTTACTCAAATACATCTTTAAGACGCACCTCCTTATGTCTTTGAGAATGTGAAACCGACCAACATTAAATACAATTCATCAAGAAAATATGAGGACTCCTGATTCTACTCATGGTACTCATGCTTCAGCCAAAACCTTCGTTTAAAAAACTTGCAATTGAAGCCATTCAATTAATTATTCAGCCCTTGACTTGAGAATAATACAGTACCGGACTATACTGGCCACGATTCATTTAGGCAATTGAGATATGGCACATTTAATAATCCACAAAAAAAAGGCATTTGGTCAGAAGCAATCATGAATGCTATCGAAGATTCTAGGACGCCAAAACAAGTTTGAGAATACATCTTCTGTGAAGCGCGACCGGATTTTGCTTGCCTTCGCAAGAAAATAAGATTCTGTGGGGCACTTGTCCTGAAATAATTGGAGGGAGTATTCTTCCCATTAAGGATACTCAACTCATAACTTCATTCATATTCATTGAACCTGGAATGCTTGATATTTTTTTTCTGCATCCTTCAAAATCAATTCCATAGTATACAGAAAATGCTGTAGGAGAATTTGCATCATTAAAAGCCTTCCGTAAATCTAAGCTATACTGTTCATAGGAAATCACAAGAATTTCTATGAGACATCGATTTTCTCCAACATTACTGGTACAATACAGTGGGGTCTTGGTTTACCAACTTAATCCATTCCTGAGCAAAGTTTCTTAACCAAATCACTTTTTCCCTTGAGAAAAAAACGGATTAGTTTCAATTGGTTCCAGAACCTCGGAAGTGTCCATGAAAATCAATAAAATTATTGCCTGAAACTTATAATTGGCCTAAAATCCAAGAAATTTCATTGAAAAATCATAAGAGAAGCTCATAGAAATGTTGTTGAAGACAGGAGCCTAAGAAGGATGCCAGAGAGTGTTGGCGCCTTGGCGGAGTCAACATTTTCTATGCAAAAAATTAATTCTGAAAATTTCTTTAGGCCTCTTAGTCAATCCTCTCACACAATCATTCACTATGAACTTCTGAGCAACCTGCGTCTGTAAACAGGCTAAAGAACATCAAGGACAGCTGTACAATCCTATATTTAGGAAAAAATAACAAAAAGCATGCTTAGAATGGCCACACTGTCATGAAACAAAAGCAGATTGAGAGAAGTATCAAGAAAGAAATTTGCAGAAGGCTACACAAATGTTCAAATAAAAGCCAAATCATAAAAGAATCATTCCATTTTTGTTATTCCAACTTTCATTCTGTAGAATAGCAAGAAATAGCCATTGGGAAATACTTGGTGCCAATTCCATGCCTACCAAGGGGGTGGGCATTTTGGGAGGCCTAATCTGAACCCCGAAGTTTGTAAATCAAGTCATGGTTTGTTATTAAGGCAGCCGAGGCAAATATACAAGGTTTGTTAATCAAGACCCCATTGTAGTTTTACTTGCTAGTTGCTTCCCTATTTAATGCTTTCGGCCTAGGTTTCCTTCTTGAGTCACCGTTTTTGGAACCCCGACGGCAACCAAGTACTGTAGATTTACTTGAATTACTTCAATGCAAAATCAAAAAATGGGTCACTTGAGGTGCATAAAATACAGAATTGGATACGGGAGACCATCCACATCGAAAGGATAATACTTGATGCACTTCTGAAGATCATCACTATAGTACAGTACATATTCGAGGCCGACGTACACGCATATACACGCATGATACTCACAGGCACAGTGACGACACCACCTGTACTTTTTCCTTGCTGAGGCACTGCCATTTGACCATATGGATGCTGCTGGTACATTTGCGGATGGGCCGGATAAGCGCTCTGTGGCTGTGTAAATAAATAAATAAAAAATGTAATTTCGTAAATTCGTATGCACCACAAATGACTTACGTAGACTTGCGGGCTCATCATGGCTTCGTCGTACGATGGCGGGGGAGGAGGAAACATTCCTGGATGTGGAACACACATTTGTTGAGGAGGAAGCATTCCTGGATGTGGATCCCACATTTCTTGAGGAGGAAGCATTCCTGGATGTGGATCCCACATTTTTTGAGGAGGAAGCATTCCTGGATGTGGAGCACACATTTCTTGAGGAGGAAGCGTTCCTTGAGGTGGAGGATGCATTACTTGAGATGGAGCCGAGGGATATCCAGGAGGTGCATACATTGGAGGAGCGCTTGGTAGAGCGCCAGTCATCTGAGCCTGATATTGAGAGGGATACGCGGCAGACTTCTCGGATTTTGGCATGGTGATGGGACTCAAGACCACACGATGAATAATGTGAGAATTTCTATCACAATCGGACCGTGATACTTGTCTACAATGAAAATTGTGAACCACATTAATTAACGAGCACTCTCTCAAAATCAATTGGAAGGCTTGTCACCACAGAAAAGTAAAATAGCTGCCCGAAATTATGATGCATTCTGGAGCTAACGAAATTCAATGCGGAGATTGAGCTCACACAAAATTGAACTGCGTAGAGTGGTTAATTCATTCAGAATACTCTGATAAGCATCGACAAGGAATTCCGGATCTATTTCAACACAAATGAAGAGCCACTTACGGAAAACACAGTTACGTCCGTCAAACTACCATCAAACAGAACCCGGCCCAGCCAATATCTACTCGCGACATCCGTCTCCATCCCTCACTAAATCCTGAGTAAGATGTGATTCACGGAAAAATCGTGTCCGAACCGGAGCACCATTCACCCACAGAACTATCCAATGTCCGAAAGGTTCACCGCAGAAGATTCAGCGGGAACCACACACACGGACATATTCTGTCCTCACGAAGGAGAATAATGTCCAAAATTAAAACAAAGTTGTTCATAAAATGTTCAATAACGACGTTTGGTAAAATTAAATCGCATTAGATAATCTCTGCTCAAATTATCATAACTTCAAGATTTTCACCGCCTGGTAACTCCGTGCGACGCCAGAACACCCAGCCAGGTTTTCGAATCCCGACACTTTCAGCGTTTCGGCATAAAAAACGGCTTATTTGAGCATCTAATACAAAGGATTAAAATTATACGTAGATGTCGCTCTAAAGGCACAAAACTATGGACACGCGAATTCGTCCGTCCTCGTTTTTTTTTCCTGGGCTTTGGCATGAAACTTGCGGACACATTCTATGTCCCCTACTTGTTAATATCCAAATACACAGTATTTATTATTCAAACAGTTATTCTGCCTATTTTTCTCTCTTTCTCACCATGCTTTCAGCAGGATTCATGCATGCTTAATTCAGTAAATCTCAAAAGCCTGTTGTCCTAATTCCGTAAGAATTTTATCTTAAGACACTTTTGATCTGAGGAAAACGTCTTTTCCACAGAGCCAATTAGTCTAGAGAATGTAAATCCTTTAAGATAATCTTTCAACGAGAAGATTTAGTTCTTATGGCCAGGGTTTGTAAATGAAACACAACTTCTCGGTTTAGAGTGGATACATATATATTTCTGGTTTACCTCAGTCAACACCAAGCTTGCAAATGAATGTTAGTTCAATGCGCGCAAGTACCCTTTATAGATTCAACACTTTCCAGACACAACTGCGCAAGCAGGATGCAACCATATCGAAAGTAGGGCAGGTAAATGACCGCTGTCTAGACAACTGACCTCGTGCGCTTTGGAGCAACGAGTTGCTATGCAACACCATTTCATGATCTGAGTTTTAATGCACACAGTATTATTGTTCTAGTACAGGACGTATGATCTTTGGATCACAAACTCTCCCCAGACAAATTGAAAGAAAAGTTCCACCTTTTCAGAGCCAATCATAAGCATTTTCAAAAAGTGTTCACACAAAAACTGAAATCCCAAGTGAAATTGAATAAAATCGATGATTTGATTGATGACATATCTGGGCATCGATTTCCCATATGACACGTCATTGCATCAAAGAGTGCTTTGAAAATCACTCTGGGGTTCAAACTTGAACTCCCCAGCAAAAATGTTAGGAGTTGGAAGCTGGGGTGCTGGGTCTAGGTAGTTATACAAGTAGTAATTTTCTAGATTTCCACAACTCCCTGGAAAACCTCCAACTCCCTATAAGCATAGGAGTTGTTATCAAGGTAAATGTCAATAAGTAGGTACCAATGTGTTGAACGTCAACTCTGTAAATCATGGAGATGTACAAATTTACATTTTTACTATACTCTTTCAGTTAGTTGTTACGAACTGGGTCATTGGGAGTCTTTTATGAGTTGGTTGCAACGGGCTGATAGCTAGACACTTGGGAGTTGCTGTTGTTGGGTGGGATCGCATGTGGGACGGGTGTCGTTTGGGAGTCGGCTCCAACTGGCTGTTAGCTAGATACTCAGGAGCTGCCGTTGACTGTTGAGATTGGGAGTCATTTGGGCGTCAGTTCCAACTGGCTGTTAGCTAGATGTGTGGGAGTCACTCTTGTTGGGTGGGTTTGCATGTGGCACGGGTGTCGTTTGTGAGTCGGCTCCAAGTGGCTGTTAGTTACTTACTTGGGAGACACTCTGTTGACTGCTGCAGGATACTTCATTTTTGATTCAATTTTGAGTTGGCTCCAACTGGCTGTTAGCTAGATACTTGTGAGCTGCCGTTGTTTGGTGATATTTGTGCTGATGTGGCTTATTGGAGTCAAATAAAACATCCCTTTGTTGTTTTGTTATGGCAGATAGATATATCAGCTTAATCAATATTCAATGAATTGTGTGTATTGTTATAGTCTAATCTTTTATGGGTGTAGATGTATAATATTCGAGACCACTTGGCATTAATATGTAATTCTTACAGGGCTGGCCTAAGGCGGGTGCAGCGGGTTCCTGCACACGGGTGCCTTGCTAGGGGGGCGCCAAAACCAGGGCTGACCCTTGCAGTGGCAAGAAGGGTTTGTGCGCCTGTATGGTGAGGCGCCAGGTGCCACATCATTCAGGCAAAATATTTTACTTGCAGAAATCAGGCAATGGATGAAAAGCAGCAACAAGACAGGAAGTCTAAGTGATTCAAAATCCGGAGTTTTCCCTTCTTCACAAAATTTAGTGCTTCCTGCTCAGGATAGGGCACTCTGCAGTGTCTTTGACTGAACTGTAACATAGGCCAATCCCAGGGATAAAAAATTTAACCACTTTATGCCAGGGCTTGGAATCAAGGAAGCAAATTTTTAAAAATAATGAACCACTTTCCACATTATCATCAGTCTGCTTGAGAGCTTTATTTGGAGTGAAGTGCTGTGCATTTCCCAAAGATTTCTGCTGGGGTGTAGAAACTGGTATGCTTATTGCTGAACTACGAAAAAATGCAGCTTTTTATTTTTGAGACATATAGATAATTCATAAAATATTTTAACAGAAATTCTACAGGTATTTTGCTCAGGAATTTCCAGTCTCCTCATTTCATTTTATTTTATTTTCCTCTGAAATTTCAATCATTAGAAATTCTGTATCTTTTATACCTTGTGTTGTGGCAATTTATTCCCCAGCAAACATCACTTTCAAATCACAGCTTAGTTTTATTTTATTATTGAGCCCAATTTGCAGGATAATCATAATACAACTTTAAATAATTACAATACATTGTAGATTTCAGCTGAAAATAAATCAAAGAAAGAATCTTGGTGCCCAAAATCAAAGAAGAAAAGCTGCTCATGCCACAATACTGTGAAATATCCTTGAAAAATATTTGAAAATTTTAAATTTAAAGCCATTGTGAAATACAAGATGGGAAAGTAGGATGGATGCCATTAGACCTTGAAAATCAAAATTAACATAAATTTTGACAGCTCTTATATATAGAGATTCATCAGCTAATCCCTCCAAAGATAAGGATACAAGACTTGAGGTTAACTCATTGATATTTAAATTAGCAAGTTGTAGGTTTCTGTGCTGCCTTTTTGCGTGGCATAACATCCTGAATAAAATTAATGTTGCTAGCAAAATTTTGCAAAGTGAAGGCACCAACTTGTTTGAATAAGCTCTTGCAAATTTGAAACACATGAAAGAATTTTTGAATGAATTTAGGTCAGACCAATCCTTTGATGCAATAATTAGTAGTGCTACTATGAGAGCTGAAGAATCAGAAATTGAATCCTCATTTAATGATAATTTAGAAAAAGGAAAGATTTTTTGACTAGGAGTCAGAGGACAATTTTGTTACAGAGGCTAAGTTAACATTCAAAACATCTCTCTTTCTAATGATTATTGACTCTGCACTGATTTCAATTAGGGAAAGATTTCAAATGTTGAAAAATTACAATATCACTTTTCAAAGTTTTATTTCAGATAAATGTGCTGTCTGATTGGACAGATGATGAAACCCTTGGTGATCCCAAAAGAATAGAGGAAAAGTTAATCAATGACATGTATGGTCAATCCCTTTTTGAAGAGCTGAAAACATTGAAAAGTTTTTTGGAGAAAAAATGTCAGCAAAACTAGTACTGAATTTCCTTTACAATAAAAATCTTATTGATTCATTTCCTATTATAATACTGCAATTTTAATCAGAAACTTCTTGACTCTGCAAGTAACTGTTGCATCTTCAGAAAGAAGTTGTTTTCAAAATTGAAAATCATACGAGATCAAGAATGAGTCAGGGAAAATTGTCAAATTTATTAAGGATTTCAATTGAGCATGATGAACTTGAAGAACTATCGAAATAAATGGTATCATCTCAAGGTTTGCTAGTGCAAAAGCCAGGGAAGTGTTATTCTAGACATACAAAATGTTTTCAGTAACCCTTATTTTGGTGTTGGTATTTACTCATGGAGATTCTGCGACATTTGTATTGAACCATGGTTTTTTCTGTTGAATATAAGTTTTCATTTCATAAAATGTACAAAGAATAAACATGTTTTATCCAATCAAAATCCACATCTACATTTTTAAAACTAAATATTAGACAGGGAACCCTTTTTACTGTGTATATTCTATTATTGCAGTTTTTAATGTATAGGGGCGCCAAGTAAGGGTTTGCACACGGGCGCCATGCAGGCTTGGGCCGGCCCTGATAGACTTCATTCCTACTTTTGATCAATTTATTGTTCTGAAAATTTCCGGCGGGCGGGTGGCGCCGGTCCACGGGTTGGGGAACACAGGTCTAATTTTTCTGGGTGTAACGACTCTTTTTCTGGTCCCATTAGTTTTGTCGTTGAAAGAGTCCACCTGAAAGAGTCCACCTGCTCGAATTTCTTCGATGGTGAACTGCCAAATGTTTCAATTTTTGATAATATTGGTGTGGTATTGTTCAATAAGTTTTAAAAAAAGTCCGAAGGTTTTTTATGTTACCATACTTTTACAAACTTCACTCGGGACTGTTTAATGTTTTGTCAATTGGCTCCAAGAAAATTTCGAACATCTGTCTTCGTCAATTTAAAACTATGCTGAAAGTTTTCCTTTCTATGCGTTAACCTTTGAGTCTTCAAACCATGCATTAATAAAAAAGGGGATTTTTATGAGAATCAGATGAAAAGGAAAGGTTTTTAAATCCCTCATCAATAACTAATCTAATCTGTTTGTGACTCGTTCGCTGTAAACCTTAATGTCAAGCAGACGTTACAAAAAAAAAAGAAATACGAATTATGCAAATGTTTTTTTAATTGACAGTTTCAGACTTTTAGTTCCTGGCTAAATGCTTCAACGATGTAGTAATAGAAAACTCGTGCCGTGACTGCAAATCTGTGCATTAATGTGCTTTCAAGCGAACAGGTTGTTGAATGTTGCAACACGGGTTCGCGTGTTTCCCCGCGAAGGTCGTCTCGGTATCGCTCGTGAGAAAATTGTTTTTATTTAAAAAAAAATTCTTGATAAGAATTGGTTCCTCGAAATTTAGCGAATTTTTGGATAAGATAAACTAGAAAAAAATGATGCGAGCGAAGGGAGAGATTTTTTTATTTATCCTGTGCTGAGTTCAGAGAAAAATAGATTTTTCCTTTCCTGCCTTGGTTCAGTATTATGCTTCTCGAGTGAAAGAAAACCACGCTTCAGATATTGGTTCGACATTGGAGAAAATTTATGAATTTTAAGTCTTGCGAATGGAGCTGGAAAATTGATTTCCCTCGTGAATACGAATTTTCAATAATTTCTGCCTGATGTGAATATTCGCAGAATTCATTCCAAGTCCATTTTGTCTTCATTATTTTTTATTCTGATATTCCGTCGAAAAAAGATAATATTGGTAATCATACAATGAATTAAGAATATGAAGATCATTACCCACCAAACGCTGATTCTGTCCTTATTTAAACGCTCTTGAATTTCCTTCCAAATTCACATTTGCATTGAAAAACTGCAGTTTGGGGGTCAATTGAATTTTCGTTCAAGTGAACTAAATCTCCCCATGGATATACAAATTTCTCGGAACTGTGAATAGCTATCACAGAGGGAGAAAAATATATCCAATGCTTGTGTACCTTGGTCTTATAGTTTTTTGTATTTTTCAAGATCATGCTTTGAATTCTCCCCCAATGGGTCAACGATGCATTAGTTGATGTTTTAGTTGCACAGAGAAATGATGCATCTTATGTTCGCGTAAACCTTGTAAGCATATGAAGTACTGTATTAAAAAAATCGTCATTTCACATCCAGAGGCGATTTAAATAATCTGTGCGTAAGGAGACATTACAGAGTAACTCCCAATTATACAAACTATTGTGGACCCAGGTTAGTTGGGATAATCAAAGATTCAGGTAATTGGGTCACACAGATTTTCGCTTGCAGTAAAAATTGAATCAAACTTTTATTAAACAATAAATCTCAAAATCCGACAAGAGTTCCATTACTTATGGTGAATACCGTGAGAAAATTTTATTACTGTAATTATGGAAATGGATACTATCCATAAATTGACATTCCACGAAAAAGGGTAAAAGCTATGTAGGAGGGGGAAAATGGCCCGAATTCTTTTGTACTTTTTTTTTAGTTCTCTGTGTTTTGGCAAGATGATGTTTAGTAGATTTTACCCAAAGATTTTTTGGAAGGAAAAAATTTATTAATGTATGTTTTATGTCACTTGTATTGACCTCCAGTGAATAGCACAGGTGCAGTCAATTTCATATGAAATGAAGAATCCTGTTCAAATAATTGGATTTATAATTGCAGGTGAATCCATTGCCGGACTAGGGCAAAGCAGGCGAATTGTGAGAGACACTGTTTAAAATTGAGGACCAGCAAAAAAAAAAACACTATAAAAGTGGCTAAAGGAGGTTAAATTGCGAAGTGAGTGGTGAAATTGCGAGTCAACCTCCCAGCAAATTTGACCGTTGAATTTAGGGAGGTCAAATTGCGAGGTAACACCTGTAATTAATTCTTGGAAAATCCGGCGTTTTAGTGTAAGACTTTTAAGTTTTGACTGCATTGTGGATTTTACCACTTGAAAGATTTTCCAGCGTTCATGTACCATTTTTCTCGTGGTACCAAATGGTCAAGTTCCATCTGTGCACGACCTTCCCTGACTTCAGGGCTTCCCTTCAATTCACCCCTTTTCTGAACTTATTCAAGGACATAGGAATTCAATTCATAATTAGCCTGGAATTCAGTGGATAATTCACGCAGTCCGTTCCGCTGGTGATTTCAACTTCAGTAATGCACACGACGGAACTCCCACAGAAGAATTAAAAAAAAAGTGAAATTTTAAAGTGGACTGAGGCTGATTCTTTGCGTACCACCACCGATTATCCCCCGATATGCGGACAACCCCACCATACGGATGAAATGATCCGACGTAAGGACACTTGAAACGTAGAAAAATCTGGCCCGACATCCGGACAATGGCTTGAGATCTGACATTTTCCAGAAAAATATTTTTAAACTTTTGATTTCGTTTGAAGGATTGAGCTATTTATATTCGCAAAACGTGAAAAAAAAATTTCGTTATAAATTTACTCTAATTTATAATACTGTAAGAAGAAGCTGATAATTTTCTTTTCGGTTTTTTTATTGTATCTGTGCACATTATAGCGAGGCTTGTTCTTTTTCTTTGCTTTTTTTTAAGCTCCTTTTGATGCCAAAAGATCAGATTATGTGTGATTTTTTTCTGCACTGTTTTTTTGTGTAACTTGAAGCTGAAAACAATTTGTATTAAATTTTTGGAGGGCTCATTCCTAACTTTTGACAAACAGGAGAACCTATTGAATAAGTTTGCATTGAAGTCGATGGGAAGATGAGATCCAATATGTGGCTGATTCGTCATAGGGACAAGGTCCAAGCACCAATTCCGTCCGCAACTCGGAGTCCGACTGTATTTCGAATGCTCTGTTGTTACTTTCAGAGAGGAAACTCTTAATTTAAGAACGAAAAAGAACGTCCCCGTGGAGTAGAATATACTGTACCCGTATTCTCTCCCTCTCGCTCTTTATCTCTCTTCATTACGCATTCGCGATGGTCAATGTCGCCTCCAGGGGGAAGGAAGGAAGGCACTCCGTTGGAAGCTTTCGTTTTCGAGGCCGTGCACCTGTTCGACCGACCGACTGATCATAATACAGTATATCCTCCCTTGGAATCTCGTCGATTTCGAGATTTCTGCGCCGACTTCCCGGGGATTGCAAACTTTTTTTTTTTCAGAACAAAAGGGGGGCTTGTTTGGGGGGTTTTTAATTCGCAGATTCGAGGCCGGGTGTCGATGACGACGATGGCTATCGCGACAGCTGGGGACGAGCGCCAGGTGTGCGACGTTGGTTGTCTCTTGTTTTCTTGGTGCTGTTTCATCCTTTGTGAACAAACGACGAAACGGAAGGAAAGAATGAAAGAGAGAAGAGGGGAAACCGTGACAGGGAGTCGAAATTATTTTTGCTTAATAATTAGATTAGTTTGTACGTACAATATTTTGAAATGAAATAAAAAGAATGATACGAAAGAAGTTTAAAAAATACTGTCGATATATCCATGTCACCTAGACTCAAGTCCGCCTGCTGCCCAAAAACTATGACACGGGGGTTGGGTATTTACAGTGGGAGCCCCGAGATCCGGACGTAATTGTTGCTTGGACCTTGTACCTGTGTCGGAACTTCCGAAAGTCAGGTCACGTTTTTTTTTGTAGTCTCCAGTCGGAGAATACTGGAGATAATTGATTCTCTTGTTGATCTAAAATTGGGAAAAGTCCCCCAAAAAATGAAAAAAAAAACTCGATGTCAAGATATGAAGAATATCTGCGCATGCGCAGCATCTGATGTTTTGGCATAAACAGTAGCCCATAAGAAAGCTAAGAACAAACACAAGTCTTGCTGAACTGTGCATATTTAATAAAAAATGTCATAAAAATACAGAATTAACCTGTTTTGGATTTAGAATCGGAAATAATTTATAATCAAAATTATTGACAATGTAGCTCAAGTTGTTGAAAAAAATATTGACGTAAAACATTCAGTTGTTGATCAAGTGTCCGTATCTCGAGTCACAATGTCAGGATGTGAAAAATATTTTTTGAGTTACAAGTGTCCCTATGTCGAATCGTCCTTATATCGGGGCCACAATTGTATGAAATATAGACAGATTTCTTCCAGTCGACGCGGCCTTTACACGAAAAACCTCGAAAATCGGCCGCAAACTCCCCAAAAACAATGTTGCGGCCTATTCATCTGTAGGCCGTGGTGACAAAGAAATCATCCTAAATCTGACAAGTATCCTAAATTTTTAAAACGTTTACTCGAACCAACAATTTCTTGAAATTTGAAACTGCGAAAAAACTATCTTGGCAACCTTGGGCATATTATATGCATAACAGTTTCTTGCAAAAAATTAATGTAGGAATTAGTGCAATTCATATTTGTATAGACGTATGGGCTGCATTAAATTAAACTGGGGCTAAATCTGAAAGCCAGGAAGGCTACTATGACCGGGATTTTTTAAATTCTTGTTCAAAAACGTAATATTACTGCATTTTCAATTGATTTCGATATTAAAGGAAGAAAACTGCGGAAGAGCATTGCAAGTGCTTTACCACATATAACTGTGATAAAACACTGTCTGCCTCGAATAGCGTGAGGAATTCGAAAATTTCTCCACGAAGATTCAATTTTGCAAAGTATTTAGTTTTTTACAACTTTTTTATGTTATTCTCCAATGAAAGTGGAACATCCTCCACGTATTACTCACTGAAGTATGACGAAATAACTAAGCGGAAGAGTTTGACTTGCCCACATGTTTTCATTTCCGTACATGAACGTGTCCAGAACCCAGTTCTGAGCCCGAGATCCCGTTCTGCGGCCTTTGTATCCCGAATGAGAAAATATTCTGCGCTCATTAAACTAACGATACTTCCACTAATTACCCTTCCAGCAACCGCGCAACAAATAATTTTCTCAAGGACACACCCGGGAGCTGATCAGAGCGTACTTCCTTCATTTTAATGAGCCTGCAGTTGGCATGATATTTAGCACCTTGGTGACTCAAAACTGGAAGGTCGATTATCATCACCGTTATGAATGGGAGTGAGGAAAAGTTTGATGTTGTTTTGATGAACATCTGTGTTTTTTTTCTGTAAAGGGAAATGTGTCAAACAAGGTATTGTTAAGTTTTACAATGTTACCGTGCGCAAGTTAACCTTGCTAAGTTTCATTTCCTTCCTAAGCTGAATTTCCAGTGAATCACCTGTCAAGTTTTCTCAGCTCAATACTTATAATCCTCTTTAATTCGAATTTTTTGGCTTTATCCTCCTTAAGTCGAATTTTAACTAAACTGAGGCTAAATCGAAGAATTTATTCCAGAAAATCGAGAATAACGGACTTAAATTATTATTGTAATCAATTTTTAAAGGCGATTTGGCATCTTCCTGTAGGCGTGACATCTATGAACTTCTGGAGGATGAACACTTGATTTTTAGGTCAGGGAAATACGTTTCTTGGGTAAACTTCACTAAGTGATACAAAATCCCTGACTCAAAAAGTAAAAAAAAAGAAAGTCACTTGCAAACTTGAATTGGAAGAGTCCAACTGTGTAAAACATTTGGTCAGGGTCTTAAATTTAGACGTGAGATTTGGAACAATTTTGAGTTGCATTCCTGGAGGGGCTGTTTTTAGGTTGAATTTAATATTGTATCTCATGGATTTTTAATTATTCGAATCTTATATCCGCCAAAAGCCCAGTTTTTAATAACCCGATCCAAATCCAGTAAGTGCTAAGACTTTTTCTGAAGCAGAGGATGTTTCTCAAAAGTACTATCTATTTACTTCGTCCAGTTCAATTAGGTAAGGTTTTTAATGTGGGTAGATGTCAGTGCAAGTTATATATGCTTGTAAGTTCCTCTTGTGTCAGAATAAAAATTGATACATCAACGAGCAAGAGTTGATTGGATTCCGATTGTAATTATCCTCGAATAATGAGGACCAGTTTTTTTTGTCCCTGCCTGGAGCCAAAGTATATTTGTGATAGGAAAGCTGAAATTCTTGAGCCACTCGAATCTTTCAATTTCTTTCAATGCGCCATACTATCTATAGAAAACAATGATTAAAAAATTGTGAAATGAGCCTGGAATATATGACTCGAGAAATAGTAAATCAACAATGGCTGATCCGAAAAAAAAATTCAAGTGGCTCAACCTTCGTACGAACCCATTCAAAACCCGCATGTGAACTCTTTTTTCGATTTTTAATTTCTTAATGTATGTCCTTGGAAATCCATTAGAGTAATAAAGTCGAACATCATGCGAAAGATCATTTAATGCGATTTAATTTTTTCAACTTGATTGCCTGAATGTTGAGAAATGATTTTCCAGTTGGAAAAGTGTTGTTCTTTTTTTCATGAACCACTACATACATGACCAGCAATTCAAAATTAAAAAAAAGAGGTTTGAATCGAAAATTTGAGGTGTGAAGAACAGAACATTTCGTGTTGTTAGCAGGGTACGTCTAAAACGTACCGAACTTGAATTTAAAACGTTTTACTGCCTTTTTGTACTTCGTCCACGATTCTGAATAAAAAGCCGCATTTTCTTCGAGTGTATTCTGAAATTACATCTGCATTGTTTGCTTGTGAAGTGTTGCTCTTCTCGGTGTCCGTTCGCTGCTAATTAATGGCAATTCGCGCGTCAACGTTTTTTGTTTGATAAAAAAATGGAATAGATAAATAAAAACTGACGGGGAAGTGGATTTTTTATTTATTCTTTGTGAGGAGGAGGTTTGGAATTCGACACCAGGAAGGACGAAAGAAGAGGGAAGTTTTTAATCGTCCTCGTGGAGCCTTTTGGTGAATGAACATCAAGAACGCGGATGAAGGATCAGGAGTCTGGTATTTCTAGTTAAATGAGAATAAGAGAGGGGCTCGGATTTGTGTGATTCTAAGTTCGGTCTGATCGAGTTTCTGATCGTGGAAATTGGTTCTCATTTGACTTGACAGGTTACTGAGGATTATTATTATTTTTTGTTTTGTTTTGTGATCTGACCCGACTGAAGGTTGAGGTTTTTTGATTATTGAAACTGGCCCCCGGGGGTATGAGATCGATCTTTTTTTTTCTTCCTGATTCTGACCTAAGATTATGCAGCGTTATAATAAATTATTATTGGAGAACCATGCTTGAAATGAGATTCAAACTTTGTTGAAGAGATTTACAGTATTTCTGCCTGATTCTGAATTTATATTTGTTTACAATATCTGGAAGCAATGCGAAGTCACTCAATTTTGAAAAGCGACTGTTTCCGGATAGTTCAGTTTTTAATAAACGGGATTTTTGTGTGCATTTAATCATCAGTTCGAATTTTGGTGAATATTTACTTGAACCTGTCATTAAAATTTAGAGGTGATGTTAATTCAACGTTTTGGATAAGAATCTTAGGGAACAAATATGTTATACAGTATAATGTAAAAAGTAATGTAATGTATGTTATATATGTATAATATGTTATGTTATTATTATGTTATATAATATGTTGAGAATATATATGTAATTTCTGCAATTGCACATTTACCTGAACCTGATGAAATTTGGAGGACATGTTGATTTAATTTTTTGAAGGAGAATCGTCACTGATTAATTATTTCCAGGAATTTCCCCAGTAGATTTTCTCGGCATTTAATATGCCGAAATTAGTGTTGGTATAAGCTTATCCAGCTTTACGTCAATATTTTCATTTTTCGGAAAATGGATGCTGAAATAATTGTTATGGATTCTGTATAAATTTGGATGCTTGATACCCATTGAGTTCCATCTTATCGGATCCCGGAGTAACGTTGGCCAACATTACGCCACATTATTTTTCTTTGAAATGAGGCCGTTCATTGAGTTTATTTCCATGAATTTTAAATAAATTTGAATTGAATATTCGGTGTGCGTTCAAGCGTTAGCTGATTTGACCTGAGATTAGCGAACGATACGGTATTTTTTTCCTGTGCGACTGTCCCTGATTTTAACGTGGAATTTTTTTCATGAATTTTCTAAAACTTGGAATCGTAACAAGTCAACATTTTTACTGGTTATTTCTCAACGTGAGGATAAAGGGCGAATCAAAAATCCTCGTTTGGCGAGCATAAAAGTGTACCTGGAATTATTAATTACGATTTTTCTTTTTCATTTTTTTTTTTTCATTCTGCCTCACTAATAATTTTTACCATTCGTTTCTTGTTTCACAAAGATTCTCCTCCGAGATTTTTTTTTTTAGATTTAGTCAGGTTTTACAAACTTGAAAAACTTGCGTGATATAATTTAATTTTTTGGCTGGCTTAATAAATGTTTGATTACTCAATTATGAATTTCGCATCGTCATTTAATTGTTCCATCGCATTTCGCACAGTAACACGCACTTGAACATGCTCGCATATTGAGTCATTAGGGATAACACGTAAAAAGTCAATCATGGCTGGATTGTAATTTACTTTTTCGTGATGAAAAAAGAAGTGTTGACAAACTCGTTTCGAAAATGCGGAAAGTTCCCTTTTGCTTCGTTTCTCTTCAAGATTCTGAAGCGGCTGTTTGAAAAAGAGACTCATGTTTTTGCCCGAGGGCACGAGTAATTAAATGATTTCTAGTGACTTCGGTTTCGGTTGTCAATCAGAACCGTTGGAATCCGGGAGCCAAGAGCCGGAATATAAAGGACATGCTTGTATCAATACTAGTAATCTCTCGTGTTCATAATCCCGACGAAAGAAAAATAAACCACTTCTTCTGTTGTTCTTTCCTTTGTGACGATGAATAATACCCTGATCCGCGGTATCGATTCCTTTTGATCGGATTAATACCGCGAGTTTACAATTTTTCTTTTCCGAATGTTGGGATTTCCTTTCTCTTTTCTCTTTTTACATTATTTGTTTTCAATTCACTATTAAGGTTCTTTGAATAAGATCACTAATGCTATTTTATGTGACAGAGTTTGAAAATTGTTACCAACTGCTTTGGCGGAATTATTCGTAGATTAGAAGATCTGATAGCTCTGAAGAAAACTTGAAATTTCTTTTACGAATATTAAGCGTTGATAAAGAATGGCCATTTCCGGAAAATTCCGAAAAACCGAATGATTTCCGTCTTATAGATGATCATTCACCTAATTGTTGACGGTTGATCTTCCTTCGTTTTGAGCCACTCATCTATTCAAGGCTTCGTATGACAAATATTCGCAATAATTTGTCGATTTTTCCGTTTATTTTTCGCAGAATTCAATTCTCCACGCAGTATGATCTTTATAAATTTTAAATGATAATTCAGTTGTCAAGCGCTGCATGTGTTGGAAGGTGCCCTTCGTTTGATTCATTTGATTGCTAGAAAAATATTCTAGTACTGTCGTTGAGTTGAGTTGTGTTTCAATGTTTGTTTTCACTTTGAGGAGCTTATATTTTCATGGCTTAGTCTTTATTGAACCAAAATGATTTAAAATCGATAGTATAAGTAATTTGTATTCCATCAACACACATTTTGAACGCGGAGTTCAATGTCGTGAGTGGGCTTGAAAAGAAGGTTTCCCAGAAAGAAAAATTCAGATAATTCATTTCAGCCGGTGAAAATTTGTCTCGTTTTATTTGGAGGAAAACCCGACTTTTATTTATTTTTTCATCAGATAATTATTACTTCCATCGTGTATCGGACATTCCAAAAAATAATTAACTTCATTGCTACAGTACTTTCGTTAATGCATTATGCAGCAGAAAATCTCCAAAAAACTTCTGCGGACCATGTGTTGGGGAACACTGGGTTAGACTGTACTGTACTGTATATGTATGTATGATTTGTCAGTGACATCTACCCAGACTATTTTATCGCTTCACAGTAAATCATGCTTGAATGGATAATTTTCTTCGTCTTCCCCATCATCACCGGTTTTAATGCATTTATGGCTGGATTGGAACGTGAAATTGTTTTTTGTGGTGCTCATTTTTCCCTGGTTATTTTCAATTAATTCCTTAATGACGGATATAAATACCGGGAAGACGCGAGGGAGGAAAAAAAGGACCCTCTTTCGGTCTTTCCCCACATTGTGTACGGAATCTTGATGAACTCGTTCCCTCGGTTGAAGCCACTCTGGCTTCCAGGCTTCCCTTTGGCTGTTCAGTGATTGGTTGGGAACCATCGCCATCACTATCTGATCAACCCTTTCTGTGTTCACCTGAAATGAAGGACACTCTGTGTTCACCTGAAATGAAGGACACCTTTGTGAGCTTGAAGGAAGCCTTGGAACTTGGGGGGCTTTAATCATACCCCAGAGGCAGAAACCGAGTTGGGGTCGTGTCCCAACTCTTCCCTGCTTCTCTGGAGTCCAAATTGTGTAATGCGGGAGAGAATTGGTTGTCCTAACTTTTCCTGGAGGCTTATTGTTTTTTTTTCTGGAGGGGGATCTGTGTGGCGTTTTTGAAAACTCGTGATTTTGGGAGTATTCGAAATTTTGCTCAGGATGTGAATGACTGTATTCCCGCATGTAGTGATTCAATTCAAGGACTCAGGAGAAGTCCAAAGAGCCTCAGTAAGCGTACAGTATTTCAATTATTCCTATCTCTAAACGTCAGAAAATTGGCCTTGTCTCAACTCTTCCCTCTACTCACCAGGTTGGGGTTTCCTTGTCCCAACTTTTCTTCGTGGCCAGTGCTCGGTTTAAATTTTGAATCGCTTTTAAAGTGCGTGCCTTATGCAAGGAATGTAAGACTGAACGCAATTTTTCTTCTTCGTAAGCAGCACAATTGTAGGAATTTTCAAGAAAATACATTTTGCCTTTGATATAAGTGAATTTCTCCCCACTCTGCAGATGAAAGGCCCAGATGAGGTCGAAAGATCCTTAAAACGGATCTTTATTATCGGAAACTGGCCTTGGAGCCATGTCTCAACTCTTCCCTGTAGTCACTAGGATACCTGTTGAGGATTGGTTGTCCCAAGCCTTCCCCCATGCTTCTTTCGCGGGTTGAAAATGCGGACAATCTTCAGGGAATACAAGAATGTGTAAAATCTGTGTTGTTGATTTAAAGACAAATTTTAGGGATTTTCTCGATAATGCGTACTGTTTTTTGGTGAATATGTTGTATTCCAACCTCTGATTACAAAAAAATGAAAGACGCAGGCGAAGTCAAAAGAGCTTTAGAACTCGTATTTCATTTTTTCCTATCCCTAGCGTCAGAAACTAGACCAGACCAGAGTCCCAATTCTTCCCTGTAGTCACCCAAAAAATCTTTTCAGGTTTGATTGTCCCAACTTTACCTCTAGGCTTTTTTTTATTTTTTTTTTACAGGGGATCTGAGACTGGATCAAGGTCTGTGTTTTTTTTTTTCAGAGCAAAATGGTGGGAATTTTCCAGAGAATACATTTTGCTTCCGATCTAGCCCTTGTGTGTTCCATCCTATGGTCACTGATGAAAAGTCAAGAGTATTGGAAATCGTATCTTATTCCTTCTGTCTAAAACTGGACCGGAGCCGTGTCTCAACTCTTCCTTGTATATTCACCAGTATACCCATTGAGGTACGGTTGTACCAACGTTTCCCCCTAGATTTTGTTATGCAATACGGGAAGGTTGATTGTCCCAAGTATTCCTCCAGGATTTTTCTCTGGAGGCGCTTTGAAAATTAAGAAGGGGATGTGGAATGAATTGAATTTTTGAGTTCAGAGTAAAATTTCCGGAATTTTCTGCAGACGAATTTCTTCTCAATCTTGAAAATCAAAGGGATTCAAATATTCAATGGATCTAATTTTTGTTCTGCTCGTGATTGGATGCAATTGAAAAAAAAAAGCGTCGAAGAGTGTCCGATCATGGACCTAAAAAGGGTGTAGATCTGAAAAATCTACGGATATTTTGATCAACATTTTAAGCCGTCATGTCGGATTTTTTGTTTCTGTGGTTTCAATTCTAAATGTTTTTTGTTTTCTCTTGAAATTTTAATTGACAGAATCCGGCCTGTGTCGGCGGCGGAAAAGGAGAAGGGATGTCGACACTGCACTATTGTGTATCCGGAAGACAACGTTGTGAGCATCTCGCAAAAGGATTTCGGCTTTGACAAAGTCTTCGAGGCGGAGACGCAGCAGTTGGTGTTGTACGACTACGTCCGGCCTCACATCCGTCGCTGTTTCAATGGATTCAACGCCACGATCCTCGCCTATGGCCAGGTAAGAAAAAAANTAAAATCTGACGATTAACGTATTAAATGCAGTTAACTGTGGGTTTTACTTCGTTTTTTGAAGCTGAAAAATTCAGTGAGGGTCGCTGAAATCTGTCTTAACACTGTTAACAGGTTTTCTTTTTATGATAGGTGGTCATGGAAAGCTGAAAAAAAAAATCACATACAGTCGAGACGAATTTTGGAAACCCAGGTCAAAATAACTGAAACATGAAATTTCCCAATCTTCTGCATGAATATGTTCATGACGATTTTCTAATGCTCCAAAATTTCTTGGAGAGTTTGTAATGTGAACTTCATTTACTTGAAAACATTTTAGTGCTTCAGTTAAGTCATGAAACGCCGAACTCTTGGAAATTGAAGGTATTTTATGAACTCTGATGAATGAAAGCCTCGAGTTCTGATAAGAATAGTTCATGAATATTTTATCGATTTTTTGAAGACTCCTTTAATTTTGGAAACCATGAAAAAATTTCCTACAGTATAGTACAGTATTTTCGGAATTATTTTGAAAGTTAGAGAAGATACGCTGTTGCTTTACACTGGGTATCTTAAAAAAGCACGACAATTTTCCTGACAAACGGCTCTCTTTACTCATTGTTTTTTGGTGTCCTTAGGTCGATTTGAAACGCAATTAACTTTTGGAAATAGCCGATTTTATCTCCAAGGAGATCCAAGAGATGTAAAATTTTTATTGTTTGTTTTAGAACCATGCCGCGGATTAGTTCTTGTGCTGCACTCACGAGACTATTACTGGACTCATTTGTTCTACTAATCTTACTGCTTCGTGCTAAAAACTTTTCCTAAGAGAGGGCTTTGAATATTCGAGATGGATGCTTTCTACGGGTGAAAGGTTCATTGACTTTTCAGCTTTCCATTGGAGAGGCCCAGTTACGTTTTGATTGGATTTTCGAAGTTAATTTTATGTCAGTTTTTCGTATACGATTATGATCGAGTTTAATTCCTCTTTGGTATTGAGTTTTTGGGCGTGGGTTGATTTTTCGTCTCCGTTTTCGTTTCCGAATGAATACTGTTTTATTTTAATTTTCAGAAAAGATCTGCCCTAAAAATAAACGAACTTCGGACGGAATATTGTTCGAGTTTTTCGGACCGAAGAGTAAGTGCTGTATATTTCTAGCATGCATAATTTTCGTGGTTTTTACAATTTTTGACGCGGCAATACTGTATTTATTCGAGTGAAAATCGTTCACGTACTGACATGTTTTTTTTTTCTCTTAAAATATGTGTTTCTTCAAACGCAACATTTGTAGAAGCTGTGTTGGAGTGTGAGTGTAACGTGCTTTGAAATGCACTGAATGTTTCGCAATATTTATTCAGCAGTTTCACTTGAAAAATTGATTCAATTTTAGTGATGCATGACAGAGTTTAGTGCCTCGTAATTTACAGTCAGTGTGCGTTTTATTACTGTGAAATTCCTTCACGACATATCTCTTTTTAAAGATTCGTCTTGGCCTTGGCAGTTTCTTCATAGGAACATACAGTAGTTATACAAGAATCGTTTCAACAAACAAATGTTCATCTATAATCTCAGTGTAACGAATTTTTGCCTTGTTTCTGCGTGTATATGTGGGCCATAGGAATTTTTACTGATTGACACAATAGAAAAAAAAAGCTATCTTGTGCGTAATAAAAAAACCAGCGACAAATAAAGTCGCCAGTCTTATTGTACATAAATGTAGCCATTACAGAAAGTATTATCCTATAATAAAATGTATATAGCTATTTTAAAATTTAGGAATGGCTAACTTTTTCAAAATTCCAGTGTGTTTGAAAAGATACTGTTATTTTTTTGGAGAACCTAAATTTGTTGATGAATGAATGCTCTTTTTATGCTCTTCTCTTTGTCTCAGCTTATATTTCTGTAAATTTGGTCAACAATATTTTAAGGAAATGTAAGAAATTGAAGATCCAAAATGTCAAATTATTTTACATTGTTATCATTGAGCAAATTATCACAATGAAATAATTCCAATTAAAAAGTTGTATGACAAGACCACTTGAAGTGAGAGAAAAAGAAAGTTGAAAGGAAGGTAACAGAAAAGAATGAGGTAATCATTCTTCTGCTAAACCAGAACCTTGAGATATTCGAATATTAATTTTCCAATATATAATATTCTAACTTGACCTTCATTGAAGGACGCAGCCCTGTCCCTTGTCCTTCAAATCTGTATATGTCCCATAATTAAGTACCACTTCCTGGTACTCAAATATTTTTGATTATACTGTATAACAAATTGGGAGATTTTGGAAGTATATAAACCTTCATAGCTTCTGCCCAAAATCAGGCATTAGTGTGCTGACTTTTGTTGATACATCTCATGTAGGAAATCTCTGAAGTTGTGTCCTGTCTCTGTCTTGTACATTTGTGGTTGTACAAATAAGTCTATTTCTATCCAGAAGGAAAGTGTCTTGGCAGTTTCTTCATATGGAGTGGATCCACTCCACATTAAAAGGAGATACTTGAACCTTTCAATATTCAAGAAGTGATTCCACACTTAGGTAAAAAAAAAAGGATAAGAACATGTTGATTTTCCCCTTATTTTATCAAAAACTTGTCAAAATTCTATTATTTCTTTGTACTAAGAGACATGCTTGAAGCAGTTGTGTGTTTCCTACTTTCTTGTCCTCAATGATGCACTGTGCCAAGTCAAGTGCCATGCCAAGCTATGCAATAGCCCTCAAAACAAAGACCAGCTCTGGGTCTGACCATTGCACAAATTCTATGAAGCCATCTGCTTTTCTCTGTATTGTATACTCACTCATTGCTTACTGCTTGCTTGAAGTCAAAGTACTCTGCCATTCTATCCTTGCTGAATACAAGAATAAAATGCTTACATTCTTTCAAGATGAACTACTGAGGAGTATTCACTTGATGTAAACCTGGCAATAAGGAGTAGAAATCTCAAGTCCTCATCAGATAAAGTTATCAGATATAATTGAAGTCTGATGAGAAAGTTTTAAAATTATGTGAATTCTTTAGATATCTGTTGCAAAATTGTGACCTGTTAATAAAGAATAACGTTTTTATTCTGACGAATTTGTTTGACAGTTCCTTGAAGTTTGTTGTATCGAGATTTTACTGTAATTTCAGTTTGTCCAAGGAATGTCACTCCTGGTTAAGTTCTTGGTCGAATTTTTTTTTTACAAATTTTATTTCTAGGGGGTGGGCGTTTTTACCCAATACGCGAATCTCGCAGAAAATTGGATGCCCCGAGTGTGGGCGAGGGTTTTTCCCTTGTTTCTGAGCCCGATGCTCCCACGTGCGTAAACACGCCGTTGTGGGTTCTTGGGGAGATTTCCTGAGCCTGACGCAGCTTGCTGCATTGGTGAAACATTCTTCTTTCCTTCTCTCTCTTTTTTTGAAATTTTATCTGTTACGCTTTTTCATTTTATTTGTTTGTGCGTCTCGTTTCTGTGTCTCTCCGTCTCTCAATGACTCCCACGGCTTCCGCTTCTGCGCGGAGCCTGAGAACAATGCCGAAGTACACACGCATGTACGGCGCATTTTTATTTATTTTAAAACTTGACGAGTTGGGGCTCGTCGTGAAGTTGTGACTTGTGACCAGGGTTGTTAATCGCAATAAAAAAAAAATTACTATCACAATCCAGTACCTAAAATATTCCACAATCAAAATCACAATCGCAACTCGCTATTTTTTTTATATCAGCAATCGCAATCACAGTGTATTTCTTTCTGTTTTTCACAACCACAATTGCAAGGGTGATCGCAACTCTCTTCAAGATTTGCATCCTGTGCATTTCACATTGATTGCCAGCATCCCTGGTGCATCTCAAATTATTTCCAGAATATCAATCTTGTGCATGGATGAAGAGAATAACAACAAAATTCAAATAAAAACAATACTTTTGCATCATATGGATGTCATCTTTTCTCATTCCATTTCAATTCTCACCAGACAAGAACAGAGAACATCTGCCTTGCTAAGGGAGTAAAGTACCAAAAAATATGAATAAAGCAAAGTAGCCTTTCTGAAGTATTATTCAATATTGAAGGCCCAAACTCTTTCACCCAAGTGCAATTACCAATAAAGAAAATATGATGAGCTTCTTTTTGTGCCAACTTGTCTTAAGTTGAAGCCATAAAAATCAATACACCCTCTTCCAACTAGCTACTTACACATTTAATAAAAAAGTTTACAGTTTATTATTTTCATTGAATTGTGATCATGGTTTAAATAATTTTCCAAAGAAAAATGCATACTGCTGAAGTTATTTGGTACTGGTTGTGATTGTGATTAGGTCAGTTTTATCACAATCGCAATCACACTTATAAGCCTTCAAAAAATAAATGCACAATCACTATCGCAATGAGTGAAAAAGGATATTGCAAGGCTTGTGGCTGTGATTGTGCTAAATTTTGGCACAATTAACAACCCTGCTTGTGAGTGACTGAATGAATAATTTGGCAGTCGATTCGATTGAAACTTCTTTTTTATATTCGAAGGGCGGAAATTCAGTGTCATTTTAAACGTTAAATAAGGGGACTCGATGGATACATTTTGTTTTTATTTGAATTTTGTAGATGAGTCGATCGACGCTAGCTTGTTCGTTATTTTCAGGGTTAAATTCTGAGTTATTTACCTCAATTTAACTGTCACGAGGATAAATTTCCTATTGGCTGCGTAATTTTTTTTTTTTACCATGAAAGAAGTGGATCATAAATCTAGCCAATGCTATATATCTTTCTTTTTCATTAAACCAATGCATAATTTCAGAATATGTTGAGAACAATTGAGAGTAAGTTCATGATTTTTAATCATTCAATTGCATTTTTAAAAATTACTTCCAAGTTAATTTTTTTTCTAGAGTTTGATTCTATGCACGATTCGATTGACAATTCCATGTTTCTTATTTTTTCTAGTTAAATTCTGGCTTTTTTGATTTGATGAAATTGCATACAAAGAAATGTCATGTTGGCTTTTCAATTTTTTGGCCATACAATTCCTTCACGAGCCAAAGGAAATGAAATATAAAACCAGGCAATTTTTTTTTCTTTTCAGAATTTGTTCAGAATAATTGAGAAGAAATTCATAAATAGTGCATCATTCAATTGACAATTTTGTATTACTTCCTGTTACAAATGAAAGGTCCTTTGCTTGAATAAAATGCGCAGTGGAGATTTCAGTACTTTCACGGCGTGTAAACTTGAGGCAAAGATTACTTGTATCAATTATTGTTTAAATCATGAAATCATTTATTGACGAATTTATGAATTGTGTTAATGTACTGAAATACTAGGTTAAAAAAAGGAAAAAATATTTGTTGAGTGATAATCTTGCCCTCAACCAGTTTCATACAAAATTCGGACCCTCTCTCATTCGAATCTTTTCAAAATATTTCAAGTAGAGCTTTGCTATAGAGTTTTATTTTTTTTCAAGTGCAATATTCTGGACATGATTTTGCTTTACGTCCATTTCATTTGTATGAACTTTCTAAAAAATCATCTTCAAGTTTTTGAGCCCATCATGATCGAACAAATGTCGTCCATAAATGCATCTTTCTGCTGCCTTAATTACCTGACAGGTGGTAGAATCTGATGTTTAACCAATTTTGCCTTTTTTCTTCCAGAATGCTTGTTGATTCATCTTTTTGAAATTAATTGACGAGTCCTCAACACATTTGGAGTAAATAAGGTGTGGTAAACTGTCCTTCAGCTTCCCGCCAATACACACACTTTCTAAACTAGTACGTGAGCAAGTTCAAGACTTGACCCGCCATTCCCCGTTATACTTATGTATTCGGAAAATATCATCTTGACTTACAAACGTATGTATAAAGAATGACTGGGATTTTTCTGTTCAAAAATCATCCGGCCGAACCCATGAATAATAGATATTAATTTTTTTTTCGAACTTCAAGATGTAAGTTTGAGAAATAAATGCGAGAAAGGTAACTGCGGAAAAGATTCTGACAACCGTGACCCGTGATCGAATGAGCAGATAGGATGGATGTGAACCCATAAATCGTGAGGGTAAATTGAAAAAAAGGAAATTATTTTTGTGGAAGCGATATCATTTTTTGTTTGCTTGCTTATCGCAAAAAATTGGGCAAAACAAACGTCAGTGATTTTGATGGGAATTCAACGGCCTACATTTTTATCGGTTCCGAAAATTATTTTACTTGCGAAATTTAAAATCAACATTTTTTTGGAAACTTTATGAAACGATTCTGTTGATCATGCGAAAGAATTTATAGGCTCAATATTCATCTCCTTCAGGTTGAGGCTAAATTTCATGTTCGAAATTTTAAAAGAAAAGTTACAATTCTGGAATTTACATCCTGACGTCTTTTGGGATTTTTTATGTCTAAAAATATTATTTTGTTTCTTGGAAATGAAGGACGAATTTTCTAATTTATTTTTTTGGCTAGCGACCAAATTTTATAATGAAAAAAACCCAATTAGCTATTTTGAAAGTTCTTCTTGACATTTCGCATACGATTAAGAATAGACGATTCGTATATGATTCCTCAAGATGAAAAAGTGTTTCTCTTTTCAAATTGTAGCTTTCGTATGTATTTCACATTTCGACGAAATGTCATGCTCTCAGTTTTGTGCACAATTTTGGATTCCCCTGAGGCGCGGATCAGTTCTTCTGTTCTTTCCAGGTTGCGTATTCAAAAACATGCCCCGAGGATCTGGTTGCTGATATTTTCCCTCCACCCCCTAGTATCGAATTTCCCTTTTTCTCTCATTTGTTTTTCTTGTCTTCCTTATTTTTTTATTTTTACACATGTTAGGAAATGGATCGTTAGTGTTTAGAGTTACTTCGCGTAAAAAGCTTTTGTCGAGTGGGGAGGGCGTATGTAGAGGAAGAGGAATGAACTTCCCGCGGCGGCCGACAAACTAATGCGAGAACGATGTGCCAGATGTTCCGAAGTGTTCAAAGCAAAAGAAGAAGAAAAAAAACTCATCTTTGTACCGGAAATAAGTCCTCATCAGTGGTCTCATTTATTTTATTTTCATTTGTTGGTTCCCGTCCATGCGAAAAATAGCTTACCTGAGAAGCGGCGGGGAAACCAGAAAGTTGTTTTGTTTTTGTGGCAAATGTGCCTTTATTATTCTTTCATTATCCACTGCTCTGAGCTTGGAAATATTTTCCGTGTGGTTTGAATATAATCCCACGGTTTAAATGAAAATTATGTGTGGTACTTCCTCGTTGAAGCAACCACGCCTTTTTTTTTTTTTTTTTTTTTTTTTTTTTTTTTTTTTTTTATTTTTTTTTTCTTTTTTTTTTTTTTTTTTTTTTTTTTTTTTTTTTTTTAGATGATGTCTTGGAACACAATGATGCTGCAACTATGGCGACACAACTCACTTAATCTAACCTTGAGATTAAATGATATTATACCGAATTCGCTGTAAATATTGTATGGGTAATTTTAATAAATTAGCGATCAGCTAGCCTATGTCATGACTTGATGCTTGAGTCAATCCATTCATGGCACCCGATTCATTGTAAGCCTCACAATCTTAATTGGAACCCTTAATTACTGAAATTATTATTTTTGAAGGACTGAAAATGAAGTCCAAACTAACCAAACTTCTTATTAATTGATGGAAATTTACTCCTAGCTAACCAAACTTATTCCTAGCTAACCTAACTCCACTCCTAACTAACCTAATTTAACCCCTAACTAACCTAACGCATTTCCTAACTGATGTAGGTCATCTCCTAGCTAATGTAACTCATCTCCTAACTAACGTAACTGAACTGAACTCCTGACTAACCTAACTCATCTTCTAACTAACGTAACTCAACTCATCTCCTAACTAACATAACTCAACTGAACTCCTAACTAACCTAACTCATCTCCTAACTAACGTAATGCAACTGAACTCCTAATTAACTTAACTTCACTCCTGAATAATTCAACTTCACTCCTGAATAATTTAAATAAACTGCTAACTAACATATCTCAACTCCTAACTAACATATCTCAACTCCTAACAAACATATCTCAACTCCTAACAAACATATCTCAACTCCTAACAAACATATCTCAACTCCTAACAAACATATCTCAACTCCTAACAAACATATCTCAACTCCTAACAAACATATCTCAACTTCTAACTAATCAAACTCTACTGCTAACTAACCTAACTCAACTCTTATCTGCTAACTAACCTAACTCAACTCTCATCTGCTAACTAACCCTACTCAACTCTCTACTACTAACTAAATTATCTCAACTGCTTACTAAATTATCTCAACTAGTAATCAACTTATCTCAACTGCTAACTGAATAAAGTTTACTCCAAACTAACTTAGCTCAACTCCCAACTAAATTTACCCCACTCATAATAACTAAGCTTTCCTGACTGCTAATTTTTCAACTTCAACTCCCAACTCACCTAACTCAAATTCTAATAACCTGATGTAACTCCTTACTTGCATAACTCAAATCTCAATAACCAGATATAATTCCCACCTAACCAAACTTTATTCCATAAAAACCTAATTCAGCTCATAATTCACTTAATTCAACTAATAACTCCCTTAATTCAACTCATAACAAACTTGATTCAACTTCAAAATGAATAAAATTAACTCCTTAACAAACTTTATTGAACTTCTAACTAATTCAGTTTAACTCTTGATTAAACTAATCAATATTTTAATATGCGTAAACAAGCATTGCTGGCAATACCTAAAACCCAAATTACTTGAACTATCACCTCCTATTGCTTCAGCAAACGTTGACTTTTTCAACTTTCATTTTGTAAATTTTCGTGAAGGTTCCCGAAGAGTCACGTCAATGAGTGTTTAACTTGTTGCTCGTTAATTTTATCATTTGCAGGTACAGTATAGTCATGCCTCATTTGTTTTAAAAATCTTGTTTAGATTCCTGACTTATAAAGACAAACGAGACCGAAACAATGGGTGGGCGTGGAGCAAATCTCTTGTCCTTTTACGGGAATTTCCGTGGGTTTGGTTTGCAACCGAGAAGGTACTGGGTTATGAATTAATCTCTTTGATGTCAGCACAGTTTTTTCTTTTCTTCTTAACATGAAAAAATTCAAAGCCTGGCCCGAGTTTCTCATACCTTCCCTATCGGATTCTTCATTTGTCCTTCCGTCATTTTCTAAATACGATTTGTGAGGAATTCATCCTTTGTCATATATAGTACGCATATCTTGAATGTGTTTTTTTTTCCCGACGTGCTGTACTTAACCCGCGATTCGAACGGGAAATTTATGGGTAAAAAACGCTGCATGGACTTTCTAACGACGCACACCTGAACAAAGAAGCCGTCGACAAACTGCTTCTTTCACTCGGAAAATTATGCTAGATGCGCTGTACTTTTATTTGTTTATTTTTATTTCTGGTCCAAGGCTGTGCGAAGAGTACCGGAGACGCTGGACAAAGGAGTACAGTACAGTACTTTGAATAGTTTTCCCCTCAGCAACGGTTTTGTTTGCTGTTCAGCATTAGGGCGAAGCGAGTTTCAACTAGGGAAGCGGTTGCTTCTGTAGGTTACAATTGTTGTGATTGATGATTTGATGCGAGAAAGCATAAATGCTGTAAATTACTGTAATTATTTACGAATATGACCTGTAATGTTTGTTTTTTCTGACTGCCGTATCTGTGAGATAATTTTGAATGCAGGAAAGGCTTGTTGCAACAAATATACTGTAGTTGAATTTGTGGTTTGTTTTGACAGTTTTCTGCATTATCTATTTGCGAATAATAGTTCGAAAGGGTTGAAAAAAAAAGCATACTCTTGTCCAACTCTGATCATTCTTGGTAATGTCTTTTCTACCGAGTTGTTTTATTAAATTTGATTTGCCTTTTGTTTTTACTGTCCACGAGAGTAGGTTTGAAAAGAAAGGGCAAAATGCCTATAATTCACTTTTTTTTTTTTAAAAAGCTCAACATATATTTTTCTTCGTTTTGAACCCGTGAAAATTTTCAAAAGTGGTCAAAAATGCAACTGACGAAAAACGTGATCTGCTTAGGAATGTATAGGAGGCATTGTTGACGTAAATTAGCTTGGCAGTTTGTTCAGAAGATTTTTGAGTTTTGCAAGCAATACATAGTAAGAAAACTGAAAATGAGAGAAAAGCAAGACACTGAACGTTTGCGAGTTAATCATTAATTTTCAAAATCTTGCTCTGAGAAATTTTGAAGTCCCTTTGAAGAGTTTTTTTTTATGATCAGATTTTACAGCAAGTGGGCTGTGATGGAGAAAGTTCAAGGAACATCAGGATTTTTTGGTGGGATACTATTTAGCGTGACTTGCGAGAATTTGTAGAATGAGTGTAATGTTTTTTGCTGTTAAAAATATCTATGAGGTTTTGATCGCATTTCTACGTACTGTGTAAATGATGTACAGTACTTGATATTTTAATGAGTGTAATGTACCTGTGGATTGACAGTAACTAGTATCGATCATTTTTGCTCGCAGAATTGTGGTTTGACGGGGCATTTTTTTGGTAGATGAAGATTTACTATTGTGAACTGATGAGAGCTTTTTGCTTCGTCGTGCGAAATTATTTTTAGAGTCTTCTAAGCAAAAAATCTCGTAAGCTATTGCTTTTTTTTTTTAGTCTTAAAATTAGCATTTGGGATCAGCATTTTTTTCTGTGGGAGAGACATTTAGTTGATGTTGACTTTTGATTAATTTTATTTTTCTGAATTTTTTGAATTATGAAAGTACAGTAGTGAAATGTTACTTGTGCGTTTCGACATTCATAACAAGAAATCCCCCGTGAAGTTTCCTGGCTGTTCGTCGAGTTTTATTCAAAATGGAATAATATATTTCTCGAAAGCTGTGAAACGCAAATAGAAAACCGAGGTTCATTCTTCATTCGCCTCGGATTGCGAAATAAATTTTCTTTTGAAGTTTAATTTGTGCATTCCATAAAGTCACATTTGCTTGATTTACCGTATCTGTGTACGTACTGTATAAGAAAATATTTTCTTCCGCTGCCCGCCGTGATTGTCAATCCTTCATTTTTTGTTTTCTTTTCCTTTCTTCATTTTATTCAGACGGGTTCGGGGAAAACGTACACCATGGGTACCGGGTTCAATCCGATCGAGCGAGAAGAAGAGGTCGGGATCCTGCCGCGGGCCATCCAAGAAATATTCTCCATCATGAGTGAAGAGAGGAGTGTGGCCCGGGCCGCGGGTTTGCCTGAACCCGAGTACCAGCTCGGGGTGCAGTTCATCGAGGTGTACCAGGACTCGATTCGGAATCTTTTGGCTGCCCACCACGTGAGTATCATTGGGCAAAATACAAATAAATAAATGAATAAATAGATAAACGAGGCATAAAGAAGCCAGTTCCTTGCAAAACTGTGGTTGTTGCTTATACTCGTATGATGCAATGATTTGTTCTGAGAAATGTTTTTTTTTATTATTTAATTGTATTTTTAAAATTTTATTCAACGCGAAAATTCCATGATCAGAGCAATCGTTGATGATTTTAAACTTCAGGACAAAAACAAGTAAAAATGTGAGTACTGGTTTATAAGGTTCGTTAGTTTTTGTCTTTTGTTGTTGAATTTGCTTTCAACAAATCGACATTGACTTACCATAATTTTTTTCATGATCACGGTGATGATCATCACTCTCTGAACACTTTTCTCAATTTCCCCATTAATGTTCAAAGGAGTTAATGACGGGGTTACAGACATAAGAATGAGGTTTTACGTTTCCCGCTTTCATTTCTTGAGAATTTCGAATGCAATAATTGAGCACTGATTTCATTGATCAGTTTTCGTGTCCACAAAATAATTTTCCAGCCGAAGAGAATTCGTCGTGATTTTTTCATAATTTCATATCGGTGATGGTGACTGTATCATTTTTTTTTATAAAACGTCAATTGATGAGGAAGATGTCCCTCGGAAACTTGAGTTACAATTGAAAAAAATACTGTACTCGGGAAAATTACCATAGGTTTGCTTTGATGCGTATTAATCTAGATTTCGAGATACTTTAGAACCCTCATTCAATCGCTTCAGTCAAAAAATGTTTCCTCTTCATGGTATTAAAGGACATTAGGTAGTCTAGAGCTTCTAAGGCTTAAGTTAGAGCTTTGTTTTCGAAATTTTTAATCCACGGTAAAGCGCACGCAACGTAAAATTACGTGAAGTTAAACAAGTTTCTTGCAAGGAAAATGAAAAAAAGTTGAAAGAACATCCATCAACCTTCGAACGAGGCAGCGTTTGTTTTTTTGTGTCATCTGTCACCAGGAATTTTAGATTCTGGGAAATATTTTAAATTTGTGGTATTTTTCGTGCGCGTGACTAGGCATTCAATTAGAAACAAAGGCGGAAAAACCTTGAGAGTGAGAATGATGAAACACGAAAAATATTACCAGGAATTTTAGATTCTGGGAAATATTTTAAATTTGTGGTATTTTTCGTGCGCGTGACTAGGCATTCAATTAGAAACAAAGGCGGAAAAACCTTGAGAGTGAGAATGATGAAACACGAAAAATATTGAAAAAAAGAAGTGCAGATTATAGGAGTAGTAGAAGAATATTTTTGGAATACCGAAGTCTGCGGTTTTCTTCAACGTGGGAGTATTTCTTTCGTGGGCTTAGAGATAACCTGTACGTTACAGTACTGTTCGTAGTTGTGTCAATAAATTGGCGGAATTATTGAAACTCTTTCCGTCCAGTCGGGTACTTGTTCACAGAATGTTCCGGGAAATAATGGATCAATATGCGATTTGCACAAACTCAAAGTTTCCCAGAGTCAAAGAATCCCCGTGACAGTGGGAAAAAAGATGACAAACCCGTATTCATTTTGCTGTGTATTTTACTATTTTTTTGCAAGTGTAGCTTTTTTCCGAGGGACATCTTCCTCCTTAAATGACGTCTTTTTGGAAAACTTTCCAGTCCCCAATGAATAATTATACATCATTTCAATTTTTCCTCAGCTAGAAAATGATTCTAGAGACCCGAAGGATGGTCAATGACACGAGTTTTCAATTATTTCATTCGAAATATTTGGCGATAACCCGTAAACTCTCAAGAAATGAAAGCGGGAAAAGTAAAACCTTATTCTCATGTCTCTAATTCCATCGTTTCCTCCTACAAGCATTGGTTGTGAAAATTGTGAAAATTTTTCAGAGAATGATGAATAATAATTATGCAAATCACGGTAATGTACTTCAATGTGGATCTATCGAAAGATACCTCAACAATGAGACGAAACTCGGAAATCTTCCCTCATTTTTTGTCCTGAGGTTTAATTATATCAACCATTGCTCTGATCATGGAAATGTCGTATTTTATATGCTTAGAAAACCGTTGTTTGAAGTAATTGGTGGGAAAATAGCGAAAAATTTTCAGAGAATGATAAATGCCCTGTATTACCATATTTTAATTATGGTGCGTCAATGTCGATTCTTTGCACGATGCGTCAACAAGAAAAGGCAAAAACTGACGAAATTCATTTACCACTCCTTATAATTTATTTTATTCGTGTGTTCTGAGGCTATCATTCTTGATTTATCCCATCATTCATCGATTAAGTGCAAAATGTTCAACTTGAGTGTGTTCCATGAAAGTGATGCTTTTTTTTTCTTCTTCTTCTCGTAATCCAGACGAAGGCTTTGAAAAGGACGAAAGAAACCAAGATTATGCGTCAATTCAAAGCCGGCGAGGTGAGCAGCGCAGAAGCAGTTTCCGTGTCGACCCCCGAAGAAGTATTGGACCTGCTCAGGACTGGATGCTTAAATAGAACAACTGGTCAAACTCAGATGAACGCGTCTTCGTCTCGATCCCATGCCATCTTCACCCTCAACCTTCTGATGAAGAAAGACAAGCGTCTCGAGGTACCTTGTCACGTAAAAATCCCATTTATTTTCCGGTAGAAAAATCCTCTTGTTGAACTGCGTGCGCATCTGATTTTGAATGCCCAGAAAACCCTGACGTTTTTATTATTATTTATTGTCCCCTTTTTTCCTGCTGTGGCCGTCACAACGAAAAATTTGGTGTAGATGTCACTGTCATTGAAAAATTTACTGCTTGAGAAGCTTGAATTCTTTGGCAATATCAGTGTTCCCCAACCCGTGGTAGTCTGCAGAAGTTTTTGAAATTTCCAGCATAATGAGTTTATCAGAAGTAGCAATGAAGTCTGTTATCTTTATCTAAATTTTTGGGAAGACAATGGAATTAGAAAATTTCTGATGAAAAATGAAAGTTTGCTTTTCTCCTTGTAAACACTTCATACCATTTTTCACCTGCTGAAATAAATTATTTTAATTTTTATTCTGAGGAACCTTTCTTCAAGCCCACCTTTCTAATTCTTTGATGATATTCAGCTAAACCTGCTTATTGGTGCTCAACTTAGTTTTTGGAGAAAACCATGATAAACCTTCAAGTACCTGCCATAAAGTCTTCGAAGCAAAACTTTTCTGAGTCTGCAAAAATATTATAAAACTTTGCTGGTCCGCAGAAAATTTTTGGGAAATTTGCTGGTCCCCGGGCCCAAAAAACCTGCAGGTATCACTGCAGGTTAGCTTGTCCGTCACAAGGACGATGCGTTCCAGTCAGGGTAGATGTCACCTGCAGTCAGAGGCTTGAAGCTGCCAAAAGTTCCACAGTTCCCCTTGTACGCTAATTTCATGTCGGATGTAAAATGCGCCGAAGTGCTTTCTTTTGGGATTAGATTATCCCTCGAGCGGATGTAAAAAAAAAAGGTGGACGCAATTACGAGGTTCTGGGACGCTTTGAAAAAGAAGGTTGACGAAGGAAATCTGACATCTTTTTTTAGTTTTGCTGCTAATATTTTTTACAATTTCGTATTCTGGAACAGGTGCATAAATTCAGTACGGGATGGGGGAAAGAGGTACTTGCTTCATCTGAGAAATCCGTTGTGGCCAGTAAAAATGTTGAACTCCGCCTTGACGATGTCGTAACGTGGTGGTGGTGGTGGAGCATTTTCCCCGCTTTCGTCTTGATCGAGGCTAGGTGAATGTGCGCTGTGAAAGGAAGGGGAAAAAACAGTTCATGCTAAGTTTAATCTGCAATCATTATTCGAGCATCCCTTTCACTAGCCTCATTCTCTTCGTCTAGCCAGTAATACACAACTTTTGAAATTTTTCTCAGGGTTTCAAAGCCGAACAGCAACAAAGTCAGTCATTGTCTCCTGTACAAGTGGAACAAGAGGATAGTGAAGTGAAATCCAGCGATTCTATGAATGGGTGAGTTTTCCGTGCTTTTAATTTGGACCAGAATATATATATTGTATTATTTTAATTAGGGGGTGCTTATTGAAATATTTTGGTCAATACTGAGAAAACATGTTGAAGAAATTGCCACTGTACAGTAGAATCTCGTTCCAACAAAGCTTTTGGGATCTTGCAAAAAGCTTCGTTATAAAAGAAAAATCTTTAAAAGCTAAATGGAAATAACACGGGTATTGAACAGGGATCAACGAAAATAAAAATGCAGGTAGACTCTACAACTAAATTCAAGTGACCAGAAAAAAAGTCGTTGTAGAGAAAATTTCGGTGAACCGATAGAATCTTCGTGGACAAAATCTTTGCAGAGTGAATCACCCTGTAGTTGTAAGCATACATTCTTCATATTCAGATTCGTTGTCGCGAGATTCTGTAAATTATCTGTCGAATTGAGTTGAATATATTGGTTTTGGCTCAAAAGCAGAATTGTTTATAATTGAAGTTCATTTTCAAATTAAAGCGAATTCGGTCAAATTTTCAGTATGATCAGATTGAGGACGATTTGAAAATGCTGCACGTAAAACATTTTTTTCTTCTTTCAGTTTTTATTTTTATTTTACAAGTTAAGATCCTGTTTTAAATTAGCCTGGAATATTTTATCGGACTTCGTTCAGTTTCTTTTTCAAGTAGTGAATTATTTTTTCACGCTGAAATAGCTTTGAAAATCTTGGGTCCACTCATCCCATTTCGCCATACTTGATGAATACACATTGTGCGAACCATTATTGCGAGCTGATTGTCTTGCGCAATGTTCTGTATACAGTACTTATTCCATGAAACGGATAAAGGAGCAGACATTCGGAAAAGTAAATAACCGGCTCTTATTTAATTTTCCTTTTTACCGTTTCTTTTGGTTTGTTGTTACAGTTCTGCTGTGATGTCAACATCGACTTCGTCGGAAAGCAGATCGAATGGAGAGGGATTGAAGATGGAAGAAGAGAAACAACTGGATCAGCAGCAAGTGCCGAATAACGAAGGCTTTGTAACTTTTGTTACCAAATTTACTTTTGTGGATTTGGCTGGGTCCGAAAGAGCGGATCGGACCCAGGCCACGGGTGTAACATTCCACGAGGGCGTTTCTATCAATACTGGCCTGGTAAATAATATTTTGTTTGTTCGTCCAAATGCGCATGTTCTTGTTCTTCAATCTATTTTAGAGCCTAGTTTGTTTTCAAAAAGTTTTAATATCACATATTTGTTAAACTCAGAAACGATTTTTTTTTGTATACGTATAAGAACTTGTCTTTCTATAGTATGTGCAAATATCTCTGCTACAACGAATATTTTCCATAGAAGCGTTTACAGCTGGACTCTCTTTGAAACGATCTTGTCTGCAACGATTTTCTCTGTGAAGCATATTGTTCTTTGCCCCCATAAGGTTCTCTGCCGAACTTATAAGTTATAAGGGCAAGGGTTCTCGAATTATAAGACAAATTTTTCATGGTCTTGAATTTCGTTGTGTGTGAGGTCATCTGGGTTTTGGCTTATTGAGAAGTCGTATTTTTCTTGAAAAGAACCCAAAATTTAATTTTTGAGGGTCGCGGAATTTCAGACCTTCTCTATTTTAACCATCTCTGCTGCGACTTAATTTTTCCAAAAGATGCATTCAATCCAGTTTCTTGCGTGTCTGTGCTTATTTTTGGGAAGAGGTAAAGATTTATTTGTTGTTCGAAGTTGAAACAAATTTATGAAGAATCGGAAGACGTTATCCTAGTATTTTTCATGCCTATTCTGAATATTGTATGAAATTACTGTATGAGATTCATCTACGATGTGGTCATCCTTTGTTTCTTTTTAGCACCATCTCGGCTCTGTGATTGCCAGTCTTGCTCGAAACGCGGATCACATTCCGTATCGAAATTCCAAGCTTACCTACATTCTTGCTGATGCATTTGGAGGTAAGTGCAAGATCTCTGCGTGATTCGCATTTAATGAATACGATGAACAGGAAAGACAGCAGTCAGACGCTCATCATGCTTCAAAAGGAAAATGAGAGACTGAGGAAAGAAATTGAGGACATTCGTGAGGTTTGTGCGACTTTCTCTTTTCAGTTTTGTCTTTTTTTGCGAGAAATATGAGTTGTGTGAAGCGGTTGAGGGGATATTGAGATCAAGATTTTTTTTTTCTGTGTGGTGTCTCGAAAAGTTGCGCTCCACCTATGCGAATTTTTTATTTTCTCGTTGTGTCCGTGACGGTGGTGGATTTGTTTTCAAATTCGATCACGGATGAAAATTAGCCTGGAAGTTACCATCGAAATTTAGATTTTATTGGACCCGACGGGAATTTCCCGATTTGGCAGTCACGAACAACATTTAGATATTATTGGAAAAAGCACAAACTTTTTCATTTCCCGTTTTGCCCGTTACGGTTTGGTTTGTCCATAGGGTCCCCTTCCCATCTTATAAGGGTTCTCTGCTGCGAAATTTTTTTTTCCTGGTCCCTTGAATTTCGTTGTAGAGAGAGTCGTAATACAAAGTTTCGTTTGGGTTTGAAACATCCTAGATTTTAAACTCACTTAATATGCTTACTTTTCCAAAGCACGAAAACTTTTTCAACGCTCTGTAGTTTCTTCAAGTTACGCCTTTTATAAGTGAAAACGGACTAGAAATTCTCTTTGATTTTGAATTCTGACGTCCTTGTGTTCGTCTTCTGTTCTCAGGGTCGGAAGATTGTGATTGGGAACGAGATTGTGAAAAGTGACTTATTCTTGGAGAGTCAAGTACACATGGAACGTATTCGAGATTTGGAAATCAGCAACGTTGCGAAAACTGCGACGATTGAAAGCTTGAATCGAGAATTGGCCCAGTTTCGGTTGAAAGCTGCCACCACTTTGGTTTTAAGCAACGCTTCTGCTGATTTTTCGTCTGGTGAGAATCGATTTTCTTTTCTCGACCAAATTTTCTGTGGATTGTATGTGACTAATGCTTGCCTTTTTTCCCAGGTGAAGATGGAATCGGTGGACTGTTGCAGCAACAAATGGAGGAAAATGCAACTTTACGATCGAAAAGCTTTGAACTACAATCCGCGTATGATAAACTGAAAGAAAAGTTCATGAATGTGGCGAATCTTCGGGGTTTCGGTGGAGAAGACATCTTCTGCAACAGCGTCTCAATACCAAACTCTGCTTCCACTGTTGCCACAAATCCATCTACCTCGTCGTCAGTTGCAGCGGAAAACATGGGGGTTGCTCAAGCAATGGCTGTACTCCGGGGAGAAGTCTTAGAAGAAATGAAGAATGAATTGGTGCGAGCGAGAGGTTCTGAAAGTGGGAAAGAAGGTGACGAAGAGAAGGCAGATGGTGTGATGACTGGCAGTACCTCCACGGAAAACAATGGGTCTTCGGAAAGCAGCGGCGACGAGGAAGATTCTGAAATGGAAAACGGATCAAGTACGTTAATTTTGTTTTCATTATTTGTTCGTTTCGATCCTATTCGATTGTTTTCTCAATGTACATAGTTGTATGCGTGTGAAAACCTTGTTTTCTGAGCATGGCCCCAAAGCTTGTACGTGTGCATAATAATGAATAAGGAGTTATTTTTTTTTTTCGTGACATATTTCGGATGCCATTCCTGGAAATTTTGTTGAACCTCTGATTGAATATTTTGACTCCTCATTAGGTGCCTTTGTTTATTTTCTTTTGCCCAATGCCGTCACTTCTTGGCACGAAAAAAGCATACTTTTTGCATGATTTTTCAATATAGTATTCTATTGTCAATTCCCGATTTCGATGATATGCCATCAGTCAGAGGCTTTAAAATTATAAATATATGATGCGTGTGTTTTTCTAAAAAAAAAAAAATCAGTCGTAATAGTGTCTTGAATCAATATAGTATTCTATTGTCAATTCCCGATTTCGATGATATGCCATCAGTCAGAGGCTTTAAAATTATAAATATATGATGCGTGTGTTTTTCTAAAAAAAAAAAATCAGTCGTAATAGTGTCTTGAATCTGCATTCGCATCTTGATGGTCTTCATCCAGATCCAGTTCTCGTGTAAATACTTTTTTTAAATTTTCCTACGCACTTTTGAAAAATTCTCGATTTTCTTCTGTAAAAATGCGGGTGCAATTTTCTGATGATCTTGTGACATGTTTTTTTTTTGTCTGTACCTTTTCAGAAGAAGCGGATCAAGAAGACCAGGAGATTCAGCAAGCCCGAGGAGGAGCAATGAGAGTGCATCGTCAATTGGCAGCCGTTACTACGCTAATAAACGAGGTGGAAATGGCGGGCATGCGAATGACTAAATTGCGTGACATGTACGAGAAACACATAGAAAAGCTGCGTCTGGAAATCGCCAACGCAGGAAGTAAGAAGAGCGACGTTTCAGCGTCTCGTCCACCACCTGTACCTCCTAGTGCCCGAACTCCTAAATCTCAGCAGAGTCCTCAGCATAGTCTGAAGCCCTCAGGTATGACAATTGCGCAAGGATAGCAATTCGCTAAAAAATAAATTAAGCGCTAAAAATACAATTCGCGCCCATCAGACATGTCCTCTAAAATATAAAAAACAAATTTTGCGGGAAGTTTCCTCGCGGAAAATTTCGCTGCGAGGTCCCATGTTAGTTTTGATTTTTTTTGCGAGACAATTCAATTGATCTCGTTGTTTTCACGAGCTCAAAATTTTGAAATTCATATTTGCATGAGCTTTGTAGAACCTTTTTTCGCTTATTGATTTTCTTCCTGTTCAATTGCGTATTTGCAATTGTGTACGCGAATGTGAAGGATGATCTCTGATTTACCGATTTTTGAAATCATGTTGAAAATATACTGGAAATATATAATGTAAACTGTAAAGTATTGAAGTAAGCAACTAACTTGGACTTCAGGGAACCTTCAAATTTGTCATCAATGAAAAGGAATCTCTTCTGTGAATATTTTATTATTTAAAATTGGCTTAAATATCTAGGACTGATTTGCTTAGATTTTTTGAAATTTTTGGTGCAGTAGTATTTAGACTGCGTGCAAATCAATTCGATTTTTCCTTTTCTTTTATGAGTCTCATTGAATGTTGGTGATGGGTGCACTTTCAACTTGAAATAAATTTCAAAAGTCGTCAGGAAATTGAGCAAAATATTATTTAGCAAAAATGACGTTCATCAACCTCCTAGGCTCAAGACCAACAAAACTTATGAAGCAACCCTCGTGTGTTACCGAAAATTCTCGTAAAAACTACTTTATTTTTGAGGTTCCTCCAGTATGACCGCTATAGTACGGTATTTTATTCAAATTATAACGAATTCTTGTTGAAACAAATGTTCCTCCAGGTCCCAAGCGTTTTGTTGTAACGAGATTCAACTTAACTTTTTTACCGTGGGATTCACTTGGTTGCTAAAGTCCACCTTGAAACCAGAAATTCCTGTTTTGACAAGTCCCACTGAATTTTTTTTCCAGCATCTGTTCCTGCCATGCCACGTTCTTCAGGACCGTCTAGTCTACCTTCTCAAACACCTCCTGCAGCCAGAAAGGCGTATCCTATTCGCAAAACATCATCCAGATCAAGAGTTCCTCCAGATTCGAGTCAAAATACCACCCCTGTTCATCAACCAATGGGTGGATCTTTATCCAAATCCCCGTCTTCGGCATCAATAGCATCAACCTCAGTTTCGACTGTCGTTTCATCTTTGGAGTCCAGTCGAGTTAAAGCTCTGATGCGGCAATTGAGTCAACGAAGTGAAGAGAAGAAGAGACTGGACTCGAATTTGCGGGATTTGTCGCGGAAATTGTCTGACCAGCGAAAGGAAGAGGCGAGGATGAAGCGAGAGTTAACGAGGAAGATGGAAGAACTCAAACGATTGACTGCTGTTGAGGCAGAAAAGATGAGCAAGAAGTTCTCTGGGGAAATTGGGCAGTTAGTGAAAATCCGAGAATTGCAGAACCGCAAAATTTCCAAACTGGAACAAGAATACACTAGGTCTAAAGAAATGCTGAAGAAGAAGGAGAATGAGTTGTTTTCTACGAAGAAGCAGGTCTGTTTTCCTCGGGATATTCTTTTCGTGAAGACGAAAAACAAGTTATTCCACTCCATTTTTTTTTATAAAACGACAGACAAAACTTTCAACTTTTTATTTATTTTGTAATTACTATGGTGGTCATATCCGTGAATAAGATTTTTGAACTGTGCATCTTTCAAAAGTTTATGGAATAACTTTTGATTATATGTATTTTCAGTCTGTCATCTGCAATTGAAAATTGATACAAATTTAAATTTGTGATTAATTTTGTTTAGGAGTAACAAATCTTGTCGCTGAATTTTCATACAAAGGCTGGTTTTCTTCTCCAGTTTTCTTAGTTTGTGACTCCGCAAAATATTTTACGTTTCGAATAGATGTCATTGCATGATTAAACCCATCCAAACTGGCTTTTCCTCCCGTTTAATAATAAAAAAAATCGCGCCAAAAGATTTTTTGTACAAAAAAGCAAAATTTCAGAGATACTGTATGGAATGGAAATATGGTACAATTATTTCTAATTTTAATTTTGCTGCGTATTTTTTTTGTCCTTCGCGAGATTGTAAGGGTTATATTTTTTTGCACGGGGATTTCAATTCGTCGATTTCTTGCCTCGTTAATTTTTGCGTCAAAAATTTTGCAGGTGAAGGAACTGATGATTAAGCGTCAGATGGAGGACAAAAGAGGTGGAAAAGCTGCGTCTAAACGGCCGAAAAAGCCAGCAACAAAAGAATCGGTGTGGAAAGAAATGTCGGAAAGTTTGTCAGAAATCGCAGTGAAGCGGGGTTCAACACAAGCTTTGTGCCAACAGCTTGGCGTGTAAGTTGAATTGGTTTTCGAGGATTTCAACTGAATTTTGTGTTTTAGAATGCATTTAAATGATTCTAAGAATGTTATAGGGACTTGATGCATGAATTAACGCGCGACCGACCGGATGTCAAATTTTTCAAAATGCAATTTTCTGATGTATGCTGACGATAATGGCAGTTCACGAAACCTGCCATATATTCATGAGTTTGAAACCAATCCGCGACGAAAAACACAAAATATTATTCAAGTTTCTTCATTGAGACTCGGGAGCTAAAGATGAAATCTTTCTGTCCATTTGATAAAAACGAATGAAACAGCCCGCGTTAAGAATCGTTGTGTTTCGTGCGTGGTCCAAAAATCTGTGTGTCATTGTTTTGTCGACAAATTTATACTACAGTTACATGACGAGGCGGAACGAATCTTATCGGTCATTGGAGAAGTTTAGGACGCAACGGGATGAAACTCCAAACTTTGGAGATAAAGCGGCGCTTGAGGCACGTGTTTCAACTGCTTCTGAAGAGTATGAGTTCTTCTCGAAGACCATTCAGGAAATGAACGAACTCATCGCTGCTGCTGTGAGTACTTGAGTCAGTGTAACGTTTTCCATGATTCGTTGAAAAAAAAAACCCCCCCAGTTGCTGGAAAATGTCATTAAAAAAAATCACTTCGGGTGCTGTGAGTGCTGAAGTCAATGTAATATTTTCCATAAATATTTTCAAGAAAACTAATCACCGGTTGCTGGAAAGTTTTTTTTTATCCCTGTAACTGCTGTGATTACTCAAGTCATTGTACAATTTTCCGTAATTCTTTTTCAAGAAAGGTAATCCTCATTTGGAAAGATGTTTTTTTAATCCTTGTCAGAAAGTATGAGAAAATATTGAATTAACCATCGTGTCTATCCAGGAACTGAAGCATTTAATAAAAAATTCAAATTTTTTCAGTTTTTCTCCTTCTATCGGAAATTTCTACACTGCAGAAAAGTATGAAAGAAATAATTCGGTGTACTGAATTGTGAAATTTTGTTATGACGGCTATTTTTAAACAAAACATTTTCGGCCGGGACCTCGAAAAAATCTGTATACAGTATTGGCATTCCGTGTAACGAAATTTGATCTTCAGTTCAGAAAGAAACCGCTGTTCGTGTACAATTTTGCACGCATTAAATTTCCCAGATAATCATTAGGAGTCATTCGATCATTTGACCCGCGAGAGGAGGACGCAGATGAATGATTTTCCGTCATTGCTTAGAATAATGAGCCGAAAACGGGATTCTTTGGAATGCGCGTTGAAATCAGACATCCGACGTATTTCAGCAGGATTCCTTGATAATCATTAACATTCCGACGTCATGTTTTTCTTCCTTTTTTTTCGGCAGGAGCAAATCGAGTATGAACACGTTACCGGTATGGAAGAGCATTATTTGAACCTGATGGAAGGTTTCAAAGAGCCGCGCTTCTTCATGGACCAGTTGATGAAGAAGTGCGTTGCGCAAGCGACTGCTTTGTATTTGCAGAATCAAAAACTTGCCGACTTGAAATGCGTTGTTGAAGAGGTTAGTTCTTATCTTATTTATCATCAAAGGATTTAACAATTTATTTCTGTAAAGAATCGGTCATCCATCTTAATTGTGTTACTTTATGAACCGTTTTTTAGTTAATTGAAGATGGGCCTCAAGAATTGCATTTTTTTAAACTCGATTTGCCGTCTGTTGTGGATTACATTTTCAAGGAAAATGCTCACATTTTTGGGATGCCACATTGGTTTCTGCGAATTTTGACGTTTTTTTTTAAAATTTGAATCCGCTGAATTTCGTGTGACGCGACTTCGAAATCTGGAAATCCATATTCTTTCTCTCTGCATATAACGACACGACCCAAATTGAAAAATGTCAAAGTTATAACAAATCTAAAAATTACTCGAAGTTCGGACAGTTTTGGGAGACAAAATTGTAACTCTCTGAGAGCCTCTCTTCACAACCTCTGAGACTGTACTGTTCCGGAATTGAATTTTCTCCAATATTCGAATTTTAGGATTTCTACCTGGTTTTCAATTCCAGACGATCGTTTGTTGAACTTTGTGTAAACGTTGGATAATCTGAGGCAACATTTTCAGCTTCTTTTTATTGAACTATCATTCATTTCAACAAAATTAACTTCGTATTTGAATTTCCTACGATTTTGTCACGAATGCACTCAATTCAACCCCGAAATTTAAAATCAGCTGACACTCGTTTGTGAAGGCCAAAAAACAGTCGTGCATGGATAAAAAAAAACCATGATTTAAAATTCGTTCTCTACGTTGCTTTGACAGCACGAAAAGAATATCGAGATGAAGCAGCAATTACTGGAATACTTGTGCCACCTGCATTCGGACGAGATGGACGCCGAGGACGCCGATGGCGACGATTTGCCGGATTTGGACTTGGAGGCGGACGTGGATCTGGACTCCGAGTCTCTGGCTGCGAGCCGCAACAGGCTCTGGTTTTCCAGCTCGAATACCGTGAGGGACAATGACTTGGAAGATGATAATCTCGACGATCAGGCCACTGTCATTCTCGGCCGGTCCGACTCCATGGATCAGCTTAGGTGCATTATTATTATTATTATTATTATAATTATCACCAACATCATCTCGTTTCTTCGTTTTGTTTCGTTGAGAAACAAATGCTTGTTAACCGGTTGGATTAAATCCGCGCGATCGGTTTACATCATTTCCGCGTCGTCCAATGCCCTGTTCTATAATGGGGGAATGCGGACACATTTTTCTCACTAGCGTTCCAGGAGTGTGTTTTATCGTGATTTTTAAAAAAATTGTGAAGGGAGTTCTTGATTCCGTGTGACTAGAAACTGAGGGGCCAAGTTTCTGTGTTAGGAAAGTGGTTTGAACAAAAGCAAGAATAAAAAAAAAAAAAGAGCAGGATTAAGAAAATTAAAATTTTAATCGTGTGCTCTATTTTGTTCAAAAATTTAGTGTAGATTTTTTCCTTTCATTTTTCCTATATAACGAGGATTTTTGGTTTGAAAACCATTTTTTTTTCATTCGCCTTTTTCTGAAGCTGGTAATTCTTCGTGTAGCTGTTAATTGCTTTCATGTGCGAAAATCGTATTCTCGGGGTGCTAAGGTTATGTTAGCTGTTGAGAAGTTCAATGATCACATCAATGTTATGCTAGATCATATTTTTTTTATATTTTGAATACTGTATTTATGCTAGTTATATAGGGTTGAATATTTTGCCACCGGATCTGCTGAGTTAGATTTCAAAGTAAGAGATTTGATTAAAATGGTAGGAGAGTTCGGCAAGCAGTTGAGTTTGTTTCGTGGTGGGAGAGGTTACATTTTAATTACTTCAAATTTGTGTTAAAATGGGTTGGTTTTAAATAAATTGATTCAGTTTTAAGTTTTGTCAAGACTCTTCGAAAGTGACTTTGATTTAGTGTGAACATGTGTTAGCTTGAAGTCGATATAAAGGTAGGGCTAATTAATCGGTAATTGATTTACGTGATTGGGTTACTAGCTGTTGTATGAGGCATATGTTCTATCTGTTGAGGTTGGGTAAAATGGGTGTAAGGTTCAATTGGGTTGGTGTGAGGTTCAACTTATATTATTTATATTGAAATGTTATCACCACCGAGCGCGTCTGAAATTAGAACTATCTGATTATTTTTGGTGGACAGCTTCAGAAATGAAGCCCAGTACTGTGATTTCTTCCACATGATGGGAGATGCAGGACTAGATTGGTTTGCCTTCAAATTATTTTCCCCCCAAGAATTGTTCAGAAAACAAGCTTCTTTTTCTTGAATATTTCAGCAAGTCTCTGTCCTCTTCGTCGTTGTCAATGCTTCTTCCGCCGCCAAAATCGCGCCAGAAGACCATAACTGTTCCTGAATTGTTATTTGGTGCCGGAAGTTCGGATAATTCGAGGCCAGAGTCTCCTGCTCGTAGTGGTCGAAAGGAGGACGAGGTTTCGGAGGATGCCTATGCTAATCCGTTGTCGGATTTTAATCGGAGAACGTGAGATAAATTATTTCTCTATTTTATGGAAAAAGTTCGAAAAATTCTTAATTTTACGATTTTGTAGAATGGCGGAAGAAATTGCAGCGTTAGCGGCTAAATCCATGAATGGTTCCGTTTACTGGCCTCCGGGTTCCGAAGCGATGGGGATGCAGTCCATGGAATCTTCTGCATCTTCTCAAGCCTCAAGTTTGCCTTCGAATCTGACGTGAGGTTTTTTTTCTTTTTTTACCATTTTTTCTGTGCATTTTTGCGAGGATTTTAAACTTCCTGAAAATGGATATGGAAGTAACAATTGGCGGCAAAAAAAAAAAACTTGAAGAGCGCGTTAATTTTATGTGAAGAACAGAATGACTCATTATTTTCAGAACTTGTTCATCGATTCATTTTAAAGAAACAGTTTGATTTTTCATGGCTGCTGACGAGAAAGTTTCGATTAATTTGGAAAATGAAATGAACGCTCGACGCACGAAAGTGTTGTGCTTTATTTTAGTACTTGTTTTTTTTTGCGTTTGGTTGACTTTTTATAGGAGAGTACATTTTGTCTTTGCAAAAATGCTGAAGCAGACAAATGATTGTCTGCTTACAAACAGAAAAGCGAAAGCGGCCGTGTATTTTAAAAATTGTATTTATTGAGATTGAAATCCGTTTCTTTTTTTTTTTCAAATAATACAGAGATTCCATGTATGAGGACAAATCTACGCCATCTTCGCGCATGTCCGTGAGTCAAGCGAAGAATGTTTTCCAGCGTCTCTCATCTGTTCCTGGAGCAACCCCGGTTGTTCCCACGAAGGGTTCCGTGTTGCCCTTTGTACCTTCCCTCGGATCCTCGAATATGTTTTGCGGGGGTACCAGAAGAACGCAATCTAGGTTCGGGTCCCCGTCTTTGGGTTGCGAATTTGTCGCCACGGGACACGCGGCCGCTGTCAAGTCCATTTGTGCCACTGAGGATTTGTTGCTCTCTGGCTCAAAAGGCAAGTTTGCTATGGTTTTTTTTTTCATTTGCCAATAACCAGAAGGCGTAAGTAGATCATGATTTGAGAAATCTGAAATTTCCGAGGAATTATTGAAATTTAATCTCGTTTCGCAGACTATTTTGAGACGTTAATGCGTGTTTTCTGTCTTGCGATTCCTGTGGAATGATGGAAGAATGACATATCGTAATTTTCACTGAGTACGGTAGTTTTTATCACTACCTGACTAACATTACAAATTTTTCCAAGCCACAATGAAAATAAATGGCGGAGAGCTCAAAAACACCTCATAACTTGGAGGAAGTGGACTTTACCTGCGAAGTGATTATGAAAAATTACAGACTGTTCATGTGCTGTCAATAATTTATAAAAATGTGAAAATCTTGTCTTCGACTCACCTTCGCATATCTGACAATCATTTCCGAAAAAAAGAAGTGTTCTGATTTTGCGCCAAATATTTTGCTACTGCTGAATCTGAAGGTTGCCTCAATAAATTTCAAATGGTGAGGAGGAAGTAGTTCAAGTCATAGTTCCAATTCAAGAAAATCCATGGCACATGAAAGTTCATGTACCCGATAACTTCATTTCGAGGAACTGACAAAACTTTTGAACGCAAGTAACTCCGCGAGTTACTGGCGCTGATTCGAATGTGCGAATATTTGACGATTCTTGAGAAAAGCCAAATAAGAGGGATGAATGATTTTTTTTCAACAGATTGCACTGTAAAGGTGTGGGACTTGAAAACGATGTCAGAATTGATCTCGTTCTCTCACCAAAGATCAGTGAAATGCGTGAAAATGTGGCCTGGAATTCCAAATACCGTGATTGCAGCTGCTGGTCCTCTCGTCAGGCTGTGGGATTTACGTTCTGGCGTTTGCACACGGACATTGACGTAAGTTTATTTGATTTTTTTCATATTCGCGACATAATGATTATTTCAAATTAAAGTGTCATTCAAAATATTTGCTTTTCTTGTCAACCGAATTAATAGAAGTCGAAGAGTTTTGTACTGTAAAAAATGCTGTTGTAATGAATGAATCACGAGAGAATGAAAAAAAAAAAAAAGTCGAGCAAATCGGTCAATTTTGATTGAAGTATGGAAGCTTCATTCACAATTAGCCAGTTACGTTTCATTTAATCCAATGAATTCCCGTTTCTTTCAATAAATTTATTGGAAATTCAGTTTTTTTTTAATATGACCATAATTTTTTTAGATGTTTGTGTGTCATTAATACGAAATGTTTCTTCTGCCGAGTTTTTTTCTAAAAGACAAGTAAAAATGAAAAGAACTATTCGGACGCCAAGAAAAGTAACTTCTATTTGAAGTTCCTTTTTTAAAGTTTTTAGAATATGTTTTCGAAACCTAGTCCAATTTTTTGAAAAATTGCGAGAATATTCCGTTGGGGAATTTCTATCTTGTTTCATTTTTTATCTTTCTTTTTTTCCCTCCCGCAGATCTCAGGGTTTGGAATGGGAGCCAGGAACCAATTCCATGACGTCGAGCATGAGTTCGTCATCTGGCGGCCAGTTGACCTCATCCAGCATGGAAGAGGTGACAGCACTGGAGGTCTTGGATTCGCCGAACCCAGTCTTATTCGTCGCTGCGGGGGACCGTGTTCGAGTTTGGAACCTGTCAACGTAAGCATTTTTTCTCTCACTTGGTTTTTTTTAACGCGTAATGCGCTAAAATTTAATAATTTGTTTTCCTTGTGTCGCGTTCAAAAGCAGAGAAGGGAAGGTTTTTCATTTTTTAAATTTTGAATAGTTTTGTACAGAGCTGTCTATTACCTCCTCGCGGGTGGTGGTGCTCAAATGCTGGCGAGATTGTTTGAATGTGACGTCCAAGGAAGTTAGTTTTCACTGTGCTCTGCGAATTTTTTTTAATGTGTTCGAATGAATTCTGCTTTATCGAGTATAAGTGTAGAAGGGCTATTGATTTCCATATAAATAGATGATTGCAGATTTATTGTCGAGTTACTTTTTTGTCGTTTCAAGTTCCATATCTTCCGAGTTCTGAGAACAGAAGATGGATAGGAAAGACGAATCGACTGGGATTTTTTTCCCGTTTTTTAAATTAGTTATCGGGGATCGGTTTTGCTGGGAATTTTTCCTCAAGGATTTCTCCTGAAACTCAATACAGCACATTGTGCCATGCAGCATTTCGATCTATGTTTGTCATACAGAATTTGAAACGTTGCAGTGATAAGGATGTTATTGAATGAGAAAGAAATTTGTCAAATCTCCTTTGTTGTAGTTATGATAGGAAGGAAATTGTTCGGAAGTATTTGAGTACATTTTCAGAAGTCATCAATTGAATTCGTGGGCATTTGTTTTATCTGATGCCATCATACGTCTGTAGGACTCTTCTTTTTTGTGGGGATATACGAGATTAATTTTCTGTATTGGACCGACTCTTACATGAGATTCGAACAACTCCTCAGAAATTTCTTTTGTTCAATTCGAGTTTTCAATTGACTCTTGTGTCTCGAGTGTTTGTCTCGTTACAGTCGGCTTTTTTTTTTCTTCTGTGAAGTGGTGTGAATTATGTGGTTCAAGTCGTTTTTGGTGCTTTCAATAGGTGTATGGCAGTGAGTTCGTTGAATCATCCTTTCAACAAAGGCGTGCGATGTTTGGCCGCCTGTGCTTGTCCATCCTGTGAAGTGGTGTGAATTACATGGTTCAAGTCGTTTTTGGTGCTTTCAATAGGTGTATGGCAGTGAGTTCGTTGAATCATCCTTTCAACAAAGGCGTGCGATGTTTGGCCGCCTGTGCTTGTCCAGATGAAGACGGCATTAGTGTTGCCACTGGTTGCAAGGATCACATTGCCAGGGTGAGTTTGATATGCCGTTGGTGTGAGAGATTGAGCTGTGGAATTTTCTTTGTATGAGACAACTGTTCGGATGATCAGCTACAGTATATTGAAAATTTGGTTAAATTTTGTACCGTATCGAACTAATTAGTGGAGAACATTAAACGCGAGACGATCAGTCGTGTCTGACTGGGACTCATCATTTTTTCTTCTACAAAGGCTTCGAGTGAACGAAGTATGGTTTTTCTTGACTCTGACTTTCCACACTTGTGAAATGAATTTGTTTCTCATAAATTTTCAACAAGTGTGTTTTTTATATTCTGGGTGAAAATGAAATAATAAATAAAAAGATGGATGGACAGTCGTCGTCGGTCTGGCGTGTCAAAGATGTGCGAAGGAAAAAAAAAATTATGCTGGCTAAAAAGTAGAACTATTATATAAAATATAAACCAAGGTACTGAACCCAAACAGGCGCTACGACAACTAACTAAGAAGCAGCTAAAATCAAGTATGTTAAAAACTTAATTATAGTTTAACTAACTTACGGTGGAAAATTCCTGTATAATTTGATGAGCGTCGTTGGGATTTTTTCGTGAAGTTTTGTACATCATGTAAAGGATTTTCTTGTTTTTTTTTTTTCAATTCAGATTGGAACTAGGAAATGATTCGAAGTACGGATTTCCTATCGATATCTAAGTTGTTCGATTAGGTTGGAAAATTCTCTTTCACTTCAGTGCATTTTAAATTGTTTTTCTGTGATCAACTTGTTCGAATGATGTTTCGATTTTTTTTCAAACAGGTATTCAAATTGGAACCAGAAAATGTTGGCGGTTCAGTTCAGGCATCGACTCAGAACCTCGGTGGCAAAATACTACTTTAATGACGTCACTCGCACTACGTCTTGTGCGAGATGCGACGAAGCTCCCTACCTACGTACTTTTTCACCGCCTAACCTCTTTTCCTCCGATACGTCCATTTAGATTTGATTCCGTGTTTGTGAATTTGACAAACGTTTTTGTGAAAACTGTATTTCTTGTATGCACTTGACATCACTGCTTACAGCAGGATTATGCTTTTTGTGTGCTAAGAGACTCGTTGCGGTTATTTTCATGATTGAATCTGCCATGCTCATACAATGGGGTTAATCAGATCAACTCAACCTAATATTTTAAATTAGCTTGAGCTCAACATCTCCATCCTTCCGTAAAAAGTCTGTCTATAGTTAATCTTTTATATAGGCTCCGATGAAATTCCACACGTCTCACCCGAATGTGATAGAATTTCTATGCTTGGCACCGTCCTAGACTAAACTGACCTTACTTTTGTGCTTCTTAGGGACACTTTATTTTAATATTAAATAAACCGTCTTGTTCATATAAAAGTTCACACCATTACGACTAGTGTGAAATACAGTTTTAAATTACAAATATGTATTTTATGGTCCCTAGAAACCACCTCAGGAAAGTAGTCACACAACTTTAAATACTTTAACGTGTTCAATTTTACTTTGCAATACGGCTAATTTTTGTATAAAGGTACATTTTTTATGACCGGAACCGTTATCTACTAATCTTTTTAAACGTGTACCCGTATTATTAATGAGCACAATTCTATGGTAGCCCTCCTGAAATTATTTCATTGTTCGTTTGTTCTAGAAAACGACTCATTCGAAAAATTTAAAAATATCAAATGTTGTCAGGAAAATGATACAAAGTAACAGCAAGATTTTCGTTTTTAAACTTTCTTTTCGAATTTTCAGCACACTGGGCTGGCTGTTATAGGAAAGTTTTTTCTTCTCATGCATTTTCTTGAAACTGAAAATTGAGAAATCTGAGAAACATATAATTCGCCTGAAATGTCATGTAAAAAATTGTAATTTTTGAAAAGATTTCGAAGGACGTTAGAAATAATTTATTCAAGCCGGCGCGGAACTGGGACAACCCTTGTAAGTACAGCCACATGTACCTTATTGCAAATGTTGTCTATATTGAATGCATAACTTTTCTATCCTCTTGTGTATCGTTGAGGCGGCTCCTTTATCGTGGCAAGAAATACTGTATTTTCATAGTTATGCTCGTGGATTTCTCACAACCAAATACGAGAGAATGAATTAAAATTAATTTAAATTTTTAAAATAAAAAAGGATTAAATCGTGAGTATTTTCTACCTTTTTAATTGGTGCTGGAAACTGTCTGCTATTCGCCTGGGGTCTTGCACGCTCACTGCTCGTACTGCACACTGCTAAAGGTGCCGCAACACAACTGACCCCTGTCTTTCCCGTTGCACTTTCAAACCAGTGTAAGTTTGCTGCGCAGCGAGTGTCTGGACGACTTCTTGGCGCACGAGACCGGCGGCGTCAATGACCTCTGCCACAATTCCTCCCTGGTCTTTTCTGCCTCTGAGTGAGTTGTCGCCTTTTCTGTATACATTTTTGAATGTGTTGCTGTTTTTAAAGCTCTTATTATTATTATTTTTGTTGTTGTTGCGAATAACCTGCAGCCGTGTTTGCCCGAAAAGTATGACATGATCTGTTGATAAACCTCGGTATTTCATCCAGACGCTATTCCTAAAAGTGGGATATTCCAAAAGTTTTGCCAGTCCTCTAAAATATTTTGAAATTAGATTTTTTTGTGGTTGTACGAAGTTAGATTCCTCCTGATCACCAAAAATGAGAGATGAAATGCATGCGAGTCTCTGTTAATTTGGTGAGGATTCAATTTTCTCTTCTATTGCGGCCCTGACTTGGGCAGATGATAGATAATCATTTAAATTAAAAAACACTAGAATCCCCACTGGAGAAAGGGGTTTCTAGAAGGAATGATACTTGCCAAAAAGGTAAAAGTGACCTTTTTAAATGAATTTAAAAATTAAATTCATGCATTTTCTCAAATTTTCTTGAAAAAGAATTGTAATAATGAACACAAGTACTGTACATTAAAAGAAAGATTCAAGATTTATTTTTGGGGAAACTTTTTGTTTGTGCTTCCCTGCGTTTTACAGGAATGTAGTCTTGCAGGGAGATGTATTGAAATATGCCTGTTTATCGAATTTTGCTCGCGATACCATTTGTTCCCATTTACTTTTGGATAATGCCTGATGTTCAAGAATAAAGGAATTATATCAGTTACTAACGGTTTTGTGTTGTCTAGCATCAGATTAATCCAAAGCTTCGCAGCTCTCTGTATTCAAATTTTGAATAATCCTGGGTTTATTATCAAAAAACACACGTTGGACGGGTTTTAAGTTGGATACGAGTTTGTTGACGTGAAATGGGAAATCCCTTGCGCTCAAGTTATTGCTGATACACCTGTATGAATTGCATGTTTTTCTGTTCCTGGTTCTTTTTCACTTTCCTTTTCTTCGTCCGCATGGTCGATGATGTGATTTACTTGCCAATGTTGTAGGTACAGTACTTTCATTCATCTCGTGTGTTCTCTTGGTTTTTCTCGTGGTGGTGGTGGTGAAAGCAGCGTTGATATCAAGTTCTGGAAGCCGTCAGCCAGGATTGAGTACCTCAACGTGATGTTCCGTTCACGCACTTTTTCAAGAATATATCAAGGACACCACTACCAGCAGCACCAACACCTACCCAACCCCCTAATTTGGCTTGGGCGTAGGCTAAGAGCCAGCATAAGTCCTACACACATAAAGGATGGAGAACCACTTCTTTTCTTTTTACTAAATCATAAGTTTTTTTTCTGTCATTATTGCGTTTATAGTTGGATTTCTAAGATGAAACTTTCGTAATGTCCTCCCTTCGAAACTTGGCGGACACTTGAGAAAGATAACCTTTACGACACCAAGCTACATTTTCTGACGAACCTTAATTTCGGGCTAATTACAGTGCGTTATTTGAATCCAATAGCGAAGTTTGTTTTATCAGGCACTGAAAAATGACGGTGCATCTTTATTGTTGATTGTGTTTTAGAACTTGCTGAGCAGAAGGGGGTGGTCTAGTTGAAATACTGTACTAGTGTACAGTGTATATACTGAATTGATTATCACTAAGTTGACTCAATGCCTAAATCATCTCATGTAAGTTGGGCAATTGGAGAAAAAATTGCAATGAAATGTATAATTTTGACAACTTGAAAAAGCATAATGTTTGAAAATATCATTTCAGTGCCAGTTGAGGAAAATAAACTTGCAGTGGTATCTTGGCTAACAAACTTCATAATTAACAAGCTTTTTGTTTGGACCTTTGGTGCCCTGGCAAAAATGTAATGCTGTCAAATTTGAATGCAGTATCCCGAAGTGTTGTGTGTGACTTGAACCATCTCAAAATGTATTTCTGGGAATGGTTCTTATTATAGAAAAGTAATTGGGCTTCATATCAATCCTGTAAAAACATTTTTCATAATTTTGCTTTTCATGTGGAGATTTGATTTTTACTTTTTGAAATGGTGCTTCTTAAAATGGCCCTCAGCTGTAGCATGACAGTGCTGTATCCTGATTTAAACGTTTTATTCAAATATTTTGCGCTCGACTACAGTACAGTTAGTCATTTTTTCAAAATCACAGGCTTCATACAGAAGTGCATGGCATTGATAAACGCAATGGATCTAATATTTTCTGACGAAAACTTTTCTTGGATATTGGGCCATTACCAGTTTTAATTTATCGTTTTCGTGAGCATTGTCAAGGTTCTGAAACCTCTTGAAAATATTCCTAGGCTTTCTTGAGGAAAGATACAATTCTGTCAACAAACACTTTTCAGGAATGGATTAAGTTTGTTAGCCAAAACGTCCGCTGGTCATTTTCACCCCAGATTCAACTACTGTTATAAAAAAAAGTGAAAAACTGGATCGAACGCAAATTTAATGTTGGTAGAGTCATGCGAGTGACACCTGGTTGAAGCGACGTGATTCAAGCATGAGGTCCATGTCTTGCCTAGTTTGGGTCATGGAAGTGCAGCCAAATGAAATGTTTTGCTTGTCCAGTACATGTATATGCAAATTTTAAATCTTTTTTTGCGTTTCGTTTTCGTTCCCAGTGAAGGAGTGATTTATTTGTGGAAAAGGAAGAGCAGCTACTCGGCGCCGGAGTCCGTTCTCATGGATGATCTCCATCGACATGCTTGCAAACTGGGTGCTGTCTGAGTGACGAAAAGAAGACTACTTTTTTGATCGTTCCTTTTTTTTTTTTGTTCCTGGAAGTTGCCGAAAAAATTTATGGATTATGTCTGAATCCGAGGTATACGTTTTAAAGACTACTCGAATCTAATCCCGCTGCTTTTTTGTACTACTACGATTGATTTTTGTTTGTATTTCATACAACGAAGCATTCTGGACAAGTGCGTGCAATCTCTTGTCTTCCGAATGCGATGCCAAAAAAAAAAGAGGAAAATGGGATAATGGAGAGAGTCTAAAGAATCGGGAAGGTATATTTTTATTTATTTGAGCTGTCTCAGTTTTTGAGAGAAAAAAAAGAAATGGGCTCGACGCTGGGGGGAGGAACTTGAAACAGCGACCAAAGGTTATTCCCCTCCCGTAGTGAAGGGTTGTGTGAGCAAAGGTTGTTCCGCGCGGGTGCTCTTTTTTTCTGGGAGTGTTTTTATCTTGGCGTTTCTCTTGCGGAATATTGCATTTTTTCATCAAATGTGAACGCATTTAAATGAGATACACCGGACTCGTATTTAAATGAATGGAATATAAGACGCAGTTGTTTTTTTTAGCCGGAAGGAAAACAGGCTGCATGTGAGAAAAGTGATGGCATATTTCAGCTTCGTGCGAAATACTAGTTCATGGGATGGTCAGATAATTTGCACGTTTTCAATTGTCGAATCTCCGGAAACTTTTGAAGAATTTCCCATGTGTGCTGATCATTTTGAAGCAATGGTCTGGATCAAATGCAATTGATTGAAAATTTAGAGTACGAATTTGAGAAAGTATCTTTGAACTTTTTCTCGGAAAAATAATCTTTCAAGTGAGACTCGCCTATTTGAACCGATAGAAGGCGCTGACAAATTTTAATGTCCCTTATTTGCTAGTCTTTTGTTGTTGTTCCAAGAATTTTAAACATTTGATGGATTCCACTGATGGTAAATTTATGATTTTTACAATTTTACAATTTTGAATATGTGAAAAAAACTTCCAAAGGACAAATGTGAAAAAGCTAGTGTTTTTCTGAGACTTTTTCATTGGTGACATGTTGATCGTAATTCGCTTGTATGATAATTCTGAATTTAATAATTAATTTATCTATAAAGAATATATTAAAGGAAGCTTTCATTTGGAAATCATCTCGGCAGTGGAATGAGGTTCGAAGAGAATTTGTCAATTGAAGAACTTGCGCACTTTTCTCTTCGATCCTGTGAAATAATTTCTGATCCCCTTTTTTCGAAGGCAATGTGCTAATTTTCTCAGTTTGCGGTTCTGGAAGTTGGGAAACAATTGCGTCTTATATTTTTTTCAAATTTACAAATCGGTGCAATGCCACATTTTTATGAAAATTTTGGGGAAACCCGATATACTGAGAAGAATAACCTTGCAGTTATGGACACTTAAAAGAGGGGGCAGTTGAAATGATGGGATCTGACTTTCTAGAAGAAATGACGTATTGAGTGTTTTTTAGAAAACGTCAACGTGAGACATATTTCTGCTGTTAGCTAATTTTTTTTTACCAAAAGAGGACGGGTTTGTGACCCAAAAAGAAATCGAAGATTTTTATTGTCATTCCGTGTAGCTTCCTGAGGCTGTTTTCCCCCTCCTTTACTTCCTTTCCAGAAGGAGTTGTGAGTGTAGGAGTGATAGATTTACTCTTGCAAGGATGAACACTTTTTGGTTCAATTCACCTGTGATATTGCATCTTGGATGATTGGATTGTCTTTTTTGGTATGCATCACTTTTTCATGGATTTCAAGGATGGAAGTTTTTTCTATAATTATTTAGCGAATGAGAGAAGCCGACTTTGGTCCGCTGAGAATTTGTATGAGCTTTGTTGTAGTTTTCTGAATTATCTTGGTGAGTCTTTCATAGTATTTTCTTACATCCTCTCATCTGTTGTTATTTTCAGAATGAGCCAATTAGTGAGAGCTTTATGTTTCTTCTTAAGGAGACTATTCTCAATAATTTTCGTGAAATACTCTAGAAGTCTAGATCATGATGGATTTTAATTAGTTAACCAGACAACTTGGTTTGCTTTCTAATAAATGCTTGTCTTTCTTGAAAATAAATTGCCGAAAAATTTCAAAACATGAAATCCCAGGAATTGTAACTTTTCTTTCCAGTGTGTCTAGAAGATTCTGAAGTTGAGGACCATGTTTTAGTTGCGTAAACCTGTAATATTAAATGTTCAATTTTTAATGAAAGTCGTGCGTTAAAGACTGCTTTCACTTTCAGTCTGATTTATGTCATTCACTTCTGAGGGAGAATGATTTGTCAGTGTGGCCTTTGATACTTGTGGTTGAGTGTGAAAAGATTTTTGGCACTGAGGAATGTGCAGCATTTTTTTTTTCAGTGAGCGCTGTGATGATAAGGTTTTATTTTTTATCCTTGTTTATCATTTGATGAGGATCACGAAAATTCCTTAGAATCGAGTCACTTGCATCATTTTCTTTAATTCCTCTTAATTTAGGATTATTCTTGTCAGGTCCATTATGACGTAGAGTTTTTTTTTCCTCGAATTTATTGCGAGAATTTCTTGATTTTATGGGAAGTGAATTTTTTCCATCTGTTGAATGATCAGTTTTTCTTCACATCTTTCTTGTGATTATTCCGAAGCATTCTCATGTTCCTGCATGCGAGTGATCAGCGTTATTTTCTGCATTGCATTTTGAGGCCAATGAAACAACCGATTTTGTGCTGAGCATTTTTTGATCCGGAGCTGCGAACTCCGATTGTGAATTTTTCTCTGACATGTGATGAATTATCTTACAAAGATAATATTGACCTCCACGTTTTTCTTTGTTTCAGACTGACTGTTTGATAATCTGTGTTATATTGAGTTCTGGATTAGACGCCGACGTGGAAAATGTAAAGAGGAAGTTGAATGGTGAAGCCGATTGAAGCTTGGTTTTGTGGCATTTGCAGTGGGATCCAGTGACATTAATTATTTGGATGGTTGTGTGAAAAGAATGTGTGATAAATGGTTTTAATTTGGTGGATTCAGAAAAATTATAAGTGTGATGATTTCGATTTTGTACGTTTTGATTTTATTTTTTATAACGATTTTTTTTTTGGGGAAAATTTGGTTTTCATGACATTTTGTTTGGCTTTTTTCGCAGGCGGCAAGTTCTTCACTGGCTAGTCTTTTTCAATATTGTAGTGATACAGATCTCCGGGATTTCGCTTCGTAACATGCCAGAATCAGGAGCGAAAAAGCGTCGTCCTGACCCCGAGGACCCCGACACCGTCATGTGCAAAATTTGTTTCAGTTTGTTAGATTTCCCTGTGGAGTTTCCTTGCGGGAACAGCCACTACTTTTGTGCTCAATGTTTGTACAAAAACTTGAAGATTGAGAATAATGTGACGTGTCCAGTCTGTAGGATCCGGGCGGGCGCCTGGTCCAGACGTTTTGGCCAACAGGGCAAGAGGGACTTTTTTGCTTCGATCAAGGAATTTGTCGACATGGATTTGCACGAGCAAATCAAGACCAAGTTCCAGAAAGGGGACTCGGGAGACTGTGATAGTGGTGAGTCTTTTTTTTTTTTTTATATTTTTTTTAGAAATGACTATCAGAAAAAGTTCTAAAGCCATTGAATAATTTTACAAGTACGTCACGATACTCTCTATACTCGGATTTTTCTTTTTGGGTTGAGGTGATCATTATTTCATGTAATACCAGTTGAGCCTCCATCATTTGAAATTCCAGTTAATCCCTGCCCAATTTCCTCATGAGAAATACAATTTAAGACTCTCTCACTCCAAAAAATCGAGGTCGAACCTCCCTTATTCAGATCTTCAAGGCCTTCTTGTGATTTAAATTAGGCTAACTTATATAAAAGCCTGTTCCAGAAAACAGAACGAAAAGTAAAAGTTACAAATTATGTTTTTATACGCTCCACGTAGGATTAGGTATTTTCCTGCAAGTAGGAAATTTTAACAGTTCTAATAATTTGACCGGAGAGTAATTTCCTTTGATTAAACTACCGGAAAAAAGCCAATTCTTCGAACATGAAAAGTTAACCATTTCTAACCCAATAATTTTTGAAGTCCCATCAGATTAAATTTAGAGAGGTTCAGCTGTGCCTTTGATTTTAAAGCACTGGAGATTTGAATGATTGATAAACTACTGCGACAAGTGGTAGTTCCATGCAGGTGAGTGTAATGTAAAAGGATAGAACAGATTTTTTTATAATATTTACGGATCTAATAATTATTTTGTTGTGGATGCACATGAAAAAAAAAAAACACGCGAATTCGGCTTTTCAGATCAATCCTCAAAATGCTATCAATTTCGATTCTTCAATTCGAGTTTTATTTTCTCGGTTCAGATGAAGAGATGGTCGTCCACCATCTGCTTGCTGAACCAGGAGAAGTTGGACAAGAGTTCAAAGCTGAACTCGAGCGCATCAGGCGTGAAGAGGAAACCGTCAGCCAGCAGTGCATTCAAGCTTTACAGGTGACATCCAAATATTTTTAAATTCGAAAATTTAAGTTTCTGGACAAGATTTTCGTGTTCAGGCTGAAGATGAAGAGGAAATTCAGCGAAGGCTGTCTGTGGAGGCAGCTGATGCCCAATTGGCGGCTCGTTTACAGGTGCGTTCAGATTGGAGTACAGTAAAGTACAGTATTAATCAATAAAAAAATTAATTTTGAGAATATTTTATTCGATTCGTTTGTGTTCGTGTTAAAATCACTCATTTGAGTTCTTAAAAAATGATAATTTTATTTGTTGCAGCAAGAGGAGAGTCAAACTGAAGCCCAGGTTACCCCGACGGCGAATAGCAATGGTTCTCAGGATGGAGCCGTGATTGGAGGGACGCCGCGAGGAAGGAGCGACCCGAAAAAGTCTGCTCTCAGAACACTTCGCCAATTGAGCTTGAAGGACTGTGTTCGTCAGTTGCGAGGAAAAAGTATGACTAGAAGAAATTCAGATTGACGATTTTTGGAAGAATTGACTTTTTTTTAATTTTGCAGCGTCTAATTCACCCGAGAATGAAGAAAATTCAGACGCTCGTTTCTTGAATCGATCTGCTTCATCTGGTGAGTTCAACTGTGAATACCTCCGTTTTCTGTCGTCTGGAAACTTTGAAATGCTGTTGAAATTTGGGCATCTTTTTGAGTTGTATTGCAGCAAATTGTTTTTCAATTTTCTCACGATTTATTTTGTTTTAATTAAGTTGTGAAAAGTACCTCGGAATGGGCCCCTGCAATTAATGGTGCATTGGATCATGGCTCCCGAAATGTTTTTATGCGATAATTTCAGTAAGAAATTTTTATGCGCATCAAGTCGTGGGTGGGAAACCGTTTGGAAAATTATACATTCCTTCCTGGAATGGAAAACATGATTTATTCGCAAAATTGAAACCTTGACGTGGAAACCAAAAATCAATCAACGGTGTCTGCTATTTCGGTCCACTCCCTGATTTCTGGGTGCCCCCTTTTTTTTTGCCTCTAGAATTCATGTTGTCGTCCAAAGTTTGACCTATAGATTCCATTAAATGTCTTGAATTTAAGCTGACGTGGATTTGAAAGACTGTGCGAACAATTTCGTGAAAAATCGAGTATCATTCGCATGGTTGCTCGATGATCGATTTTTTTCCCGAAGATTATCCTTCTGGCTATGAGAAAAATTTGAAATGTTTGTATGCCAAATGAAATCTTTATTTATATGCCTCTTTTTTTGTTTAAAAATTTGTTTTCCTTGTCATGGCTTCTCAAAATGAGGGTTCGACTTAGGTACCTAAATATGGAAATTTCTCTCTATCTCATCTGCCATGCTTTCAAGTTTCCTAGCCGAAATCATGATACATTTTCCTTTTGAGTCTGCTAAGGAGTTAGAACCTTGTTGTTTACGCTCGTCGCATGCTTACAACGGTGCTTCTTCCGGTTCTAAAGCTCTGGAAACAGTTCCTTGTCTACTCGTCAAAGAGGCGACAAGTTCCGCGACAGTCGCAATGTGAGCGAGACCGACTGCTCGCTGCCGAAGTCCAACGTGAGCTCAATGGCAAGAAAGCCGCCGTACCAGCGCCACCACCACCACCACACCCAGCAAATCTGGACCTTTGGACTTCCTTTTTGCACGCCAACTGCGCAATTTGGCTTCATCCAAGTCTCCGAAATTGGCTGTGACCAGACAAGAAGCTGGCCAATCGACCCCAACGTCGGCCGATCGGGCTTCTTAAATTTGAGAAGTAGCTTGGACAAGAAATGAGGTAACCAAGCAAGCAAACGCTCACGGAAAAAAAACCGCTGCTAAAAAGTGGATGACTAAGACCGACACCAGCTAAACAACGTATCAACACCTGGCATAAATTAGCTCAGTAAGACGTATTTTCTTTGCCGAAATTGGTCTTCGAAAAATTCAGGATCTTTCGTGTGTTTAAGTTTGTTCGAATACTCAGAAATTGGCTTTAAAAAAAAGTTGTGGTGTGTCTTATTTTAAACTGCTCTCTTATTGAAAAGCATGATGATGGTCAGCAGCTATCACTTCGACTGCAAATTGGAGACTCCATAAAATTAAAGACGCGCGTCATTTGCAAATACAGTACAGTGCAGTGTATTGGTTCAAAAAATGTATGATTGCCGCTTATATTAATCTGCGTTTCAAACCTGCATGTGAAGTGAAAGCTTCTGACCGATACGATTAGTCTATTGCATTTTATTGGTTGCAAATTGAAAAAAAAAATTCCCATGCGCGAACGCCAGTTGCTTCTTATTGCAAAAATATTTGAGTACGAGCGAATGTTGGTGACGAATAATATTTTTCCTCGGAACCGTGATAACAGTACGTTTGTTCGAAGTCTTCCCGTAATATTCACAACCACCGTCTGCATAAGATAAATACTTGAAAGTGCAGTATTTCTGTTGGAAAATGTACATAAGTTAGTAAAGTGCCAGAGGGCTAGCTTTTATCAAGTGTCAGCCAACATGTGATTGAGTTATTAATTAAGTAGAAGGCCTGCACCATATTGACTTCGCGTTCATCTTATAACACAATAATTAATGTTGAAAATCGTTTTTGAAATTGGTGTTGGCAAGCCAAATTTCCACTTTTTATGGGCACAAAAACGAGGTGCGTCTTATATTCAATTGAATGCGGTATAAGCCTCGTTATGGGTTTTTTGATCTGTGCATTGAGATATTTCCGAGGGGATTCTGAACGCAATTGAAGAAAAATGAGATCAAACAGTGCTCTCGTCGATGGCATGGATCTTATGATGTTGCGCCTTTACTCTGTTGACGTTTTTGTGAAAAATCTGAAAATACTTGCTCAAGCTTTTTGTTTTCTGCGGGACCATGATATCAACGTATGTACATGTCGCTATAGCGACGCGTGATTTTCTTTACCTGACGCGTTGATGAAATCTTTCAATCTTGTTCATTAATTTGCGAAGCTGTGTTTTATTTTCCGATTCGATGCGGAGAAGCAGGCTGCGATTTGAATTATCCGTATGCTGATCCGCATCTTGCTGTATATACTGCACAGTACATCTTTTCTTGCATTCAACTTCGAGACGTTGATGACCGGTGCACCAAACATGACTCGTATAATGTACAAGTGTTCCCCAACCTTTCTGGCCCGCGGACCAGCGAATTTCAGTTTGTAAAAAACGCCTAGGTGCTTCGTAGTTTGAAAACTTCCGAGTGTTTGCAAAACGAACCTTCTGAAGTTCAGTTCGTAGTCTTTAGTATTCTTAGTTAATTCGTCGATATCACCTTACAAAATAGCAAATTGCTGGAAAGGTGGGCTTGAAGAAAGGTTTCCAAGAATAAAAAATTGAAATAATTGATTAAAGCAGGTGAAAATTTGTCTGAAGTGTTATATGGAAGAACCCAAATTTTTTTGTCAGATGATTTCAACTGATTTTATTTCCAAAATTTCAGATGATAACAGTCAACATTGCTATTTTTGATGCATCTATTATGCTGCAGAAAATGGATAGATGGCCAAAAAAAAACTTCTGGGGGCATTCTGTGGAACATGGATTGGGGAAAACTGATTCACATAAGTACAATTTGGAGCAATACCAATTTAATTACTGCACACTGTATAACACAATTTTACCGACGTACTGTACATCTGAAAGAAGAAAATATTTCAGGGAATTATGTCTGGTACAGTACAGTACAATGGTGGGGAAGGGCACCTAGGGGAACGGCAGCGAACGCGGGAGCGGTGACAGCGACATCTTCCGGATGTGAGAAGAGGTTGTGAACGTACGCAAATGTTAGGAAGAGGATGCGGTGCGAGTGTGAGGCCAGCATGCTCCATAGCAAAGTACGGTAGTTGCGTGAAAATTGTGTACGATTGGAACGACAATGGAAATGGACCAACCGAAGGTCTTCGAACTTTCGCCACGAAATTAAGCTGTCCTTGCCATCTTTTCACTGCCTGCGAAAGTTACTAGAAATCTACGCCAGAACGATGGTTGTCGACAACAGTCTAGTGGACGTCCTTGGTGCAGTACACAGTGACTCTTTTTCAGTTGAAAACGTTCTAATACAATCAAACATTTTTTGCGGATCCACGAAGCATCAAACTTTTGAAGGCTCACAAACGTTTTGCTTGGAAGACTTCAAGTCAAGCATCAGAAATCATAAGAATCAATTAAGCAGCTATAGTGGAATGTTTTCAGCAAATTGCTGGAAAGGTGGGCTTGAAGAAAGGTTTCCAAGGATAAAAAATTGAAATAATTAATTAAAGCAGGTGAAAATTTGTCTGAAGTGTTATATGGAAAAACCCAAGTTTTTTTGTCAGATAATTTCAACTGATTTTATTTCCAAAATTTCAGATGATAACAGTCAACATTGCTATTTTTGATGCATTTATTATGCTGCAGAAAATGGGTAGATGGCCAAAAAAAAACTTCTGGGGCCTGGGGGCATACTGTGGACCATGGATTGGGGAAAACTGATTCACATAAGTACAATTTGGAGCAATACCAATTTAATTACTGCACACTGTATAACACAATTTTACCGACGTACTGTACATCTGAAGGAAGAAAATATTTCAGGGAATTATGTCTGGTACAGTACAGTACAATGGTGGGGAAGGGCACCTAGGGGAACGGCAGCGAACGCGGGAGCGGTGACAGCGACATCTTCCGGATGGGATAAGAGGTTGTAACGTGCGCAAATGTTAGGAAGAGGATGCAGTGCGAGTGTGAGGCCAGCATGCTCCATAGCGAAGTACGGTAGTTGCGGTAGTTGCGTGAAAATTGTGTACGATTGGAACGACAATGGAAATGGACCAACCGAAGGTCTTCGAACTTTCGCCACGAAATTAAGCTGTCCTTGTGTAGAAAAGTGACGGACGCTTTCAATGATCTTTAGATGCGGTCTTGCTACCAACAGCTGTTGTCAGATCACCTGCAGGAACCACGTCATGTGTCACTGAGAAAAAGTCAACTTTTGCAAGATTATGTCATGGTGCGTGATCATGTGGCTGGATGCAGGATAATTTTCCACCCTTCTTTCTAAGGCTTTGAGGTACAAGTGCGCACTTAGGTTAGAAGACAACTCGCTCATAGTATCGCCAATAAGGACACAAACATATAGTGCGTCACCGGTCATACAGACGAAGTCTTATGGAAGCTCAACTCTTCTACAGTCACGAAGAAGTAAATAAATTTTATTTAGCTTCGAAGTTCGGCGCAGTAAGGTTGAAGAGTAAAGTACTCCTTCTATTCACGAACACAGACGTATATTCATTGAAGTCAGGGTATAACACACAAGGATAAGTCAATAGGAGAGGGGAGTTGATCGGTCAAAGGCTCAGACTGAAGTGGGGATTGTGGAGCTCCTTCCGTCGGCTTCTCCTCCAGTGGTTCTCGTGATGGTGCAATGTTGCTCAAGGATTGGGGTGGGGACTTTGGACGTTTGCCCTTACGCCAGTATGGGCGTCTAGATGTCGCCCTCTTATTGGAAGGGGCACCCTTACTCTCCCCCCCCTGGGAAAAAGCACTCGCGTTCGGTATTGTTTCACGGCTCGAGGAAACTTGTGCGGCGGGGTGATCGACCCCGGGGTATAACACACAAGGATAAGTCAATAGGAGAGGGGAGTTGATCGGTCAAAGGCTCAGACTGAAGTGGGGATTGTGGAGCTCCTTCCGTCGGCTAGAGGAGGTCACCAAGAGCACTACCACGTTACTTGCTCAAGGATTGGGGTGGGGACTTTGGACGTTTGCCCTTACGCCAGTATGGGCGTCTAGATGTCGCCCTCTTATTGGAAGGGGCACCCTTACTGCGCGCAGGTAATGAAAGCGTGTTAGGAGGCACGCGAGGTGCATTAGCCAATATTCCAGTTCCCATAGTTCTAGCGTCGTACCCTGAGTTCACTATTCGCGTTTATGATCTGGTTGGGTTATGGTGGAATTTGTTAATTTTTAATAAATTTCAATTTCGTTCGAAGGTGCCGGGTGGTTAATTGTTTCGCCAAACGCGTGATTGGAGCATCACACCGGTAGTGATGGTGACTGCCCGCTTTCAATGATGAGTACGGAACAAATGCGCGCTTGAAGGCGTTGTTCTGTTCGGTGACCGGACGTTATCCATGTGAAAGTTTGACCTGCGTTGAGTGAAGGTGCGACGGGGAGGTCTCCCGACAAGGGATGGTGAGGTACGGAGTTACGGTTTTTACTCACTGAAGTATTTGACGCTTACGAACGTCTATGCTTATACATGTTGAAGAATTGTGTTGGAGTAGGAAGATAACATAATATTCAATACAGTACTTTCCTGTTATCTCTGTACCTCATTCCTAGACTGCACTACCATCCAGACAAATCTTCAGGACAAGTTCAAATTACATGTTGAAGAATTGTGTTGGAGTAGGAAGATAACATAATATTCAATACAGTACTTTCCTGTTATCTCTGTACCTCATTCCTAGACTGCACTACCATCCAGACAAATCTTCAGGACAAGTTCATAATCACAAGAACCCACCAGAAACTGTGAATTTTATTTTCTGCATTCTGCTGAAACTGATTTTGGGAGGTGGTTAGGTAAAGTTTGGTTAGGTCAGGTTATGTT